CGTCCTGTCCTTTCTGTAGGAGCTTGGAGGAAGAAGAAATGAAAAGGCTGGGTTTGTGCCCCTCACCCCTAGCGCGTGTGCCCTCAGCAGAAGAGGTGGTGAGGTTCAGTGGCCTAGATTTCGTAGGGTTATCGATCCTGGGAGCTTCAGAAAGGCCTCTGAGAGCTTTCTGATAGGTCCACTTCCCTTTACTCCTTCTCCCCGCTGCACCCAAAGCCACAAAGAGCTGCTTCGCCTCTTTCCTTCCAAACATTCAGGCTTATAGAGAGCAACCTATCTGTGCAACCAAAGGGAAGTGAGCATCCGGGGGCCGCTGAAAGTCTCCCAGGCTGGCCCGACCTGTCCTCCAGTGTGTAGGGAAGACCCGAGAACGCCAGAACAGTCTAGCAGCTGGGGTGCACACTAAAGGGGAGGGTGCCACACACAAAGGCAAAGGCACTCAGGTTGACTCTCTGTTTATACACACAGGCATGCTTACTGTAACTTCCTAGTCCAAGCCAACATTTGTACAGGATGGTGTTTATTTAATAAATTGGTTGTATCATTAGGAAACACAGGTAGGTCTATAAACGCCAGGACAAAGATTTTTAATAAGCTTATTAAAGATAAGTAAGACTCCTATTTTTTCTTACATGGTTGTATTATTAAACACATGCTAAGGTATGAATAGAAGCAATACTGTATATTTGCTACGTAATGTAACTTTTGGATACACAGTAATGGTGAAGTGCTCTGGGTCTGAAACAGGAGACAGCTGGGTCGGAACCTCAGCTCTGCCACCTACCTATCTCTTACCCAGCTTCTCCAGGCCCCACTTTCATCATATGGGAAAAGGGGACAATAATAATATCTGCCTCACAGGATTTATGTGAAGATTAAATAAGATAGTGCAAGTAAAGAGTTCAGCACAGCGCCTGGGATATAACAAGCATTTAATTAATGGTAACTGATGCTGCTGTAATTGTTAGGACCCTGCAGTAATTCGACAACTGCCTTGTTGTTGACCTTTCAGTTTTTATTCACTATGCTATTCAACTACAAGCACAACATCCTGTTCTCCTTCAAGATCTGCACGCGCACCTCCTCTTTTCCTTCTCCGTCATTTCTCCCATAATTCTTTCTTTATCTGAATCTGTTTTACTCCCTTCGTTAGGATTAATGACCCTATTGGTGACATGCTGGGTTCCCTCCTTACTTGGAATTAATTTATCTTCAAACATTTCACAAGCCTGGATTCCCTTGCCTCATTATCCTTTCAGTGTTGGCTTGAAACTCCTTAAACCTGGGTCAGTCTTTTCTCATTGCCTCTGCCCTCCAACTGAATGACCCTGGAGAAAAATCCCACAACTCTTCTTGGTACCAGAGAAAACAAATCTAGGCCCTGGTACTCAGTGGCACTGTCTTTGGCCCCTGTATGGCACAGANATATTTCATTCTGGTTTCCTTTGCCCTTTTAGTATTTATCTATTACTAAATCACCTTTATATCATTTGCATGTGCTAAAATATTACTTAGTAATTATCTCTAAGAAATCAAACTTTTCTGTCTGCAAATAGACTGTAGATTCCTTGAAAGCATGGACATCTTCCTGTTTCTTTTGCCCTCTCACCGCTAAACAACCTGCAAAAGGAACCTTACAAATGAATGCTAATGATGAAAGAGCTTTGTAAAGCACAAAGTACAATATGGCTCTTGGTAAAGGTTTGGAGCACCAGTAAACCTGGCTGTGTTCTCAGAAATAATTTCCTGCCTTAGTCCTTGCAATTGTACTCTCATGTATGAGCTTCTCACTATTTCCACACTCATTACTGTCATTATTATATCACTTTTTGCTAAAACTGAAAGGTAAAGTCAGGGGAGATGATGCTGCACATAATCCCAGTGGGTTTCTTGAGGCATGCACTTTCAGGGCTCCTGTGTAAAACACACCTGCTCATCTACTTTGCGCTGCAACTGCATGATCTTGTTCTCCATGCCAATGTGCAGCTTCTTGTAGCGCTCCACGGAACGGGCCTCGATCTTGAGCTTCTTCAGCTCGCGCTTGGCCATCATCCGCCGGAAGCAGCACTGAAGGTAGATGACGGCATGCATGCTCCTCTTGTAGCGGGTGCGAGCCAGCCAGCCCCGGACCCACTTCTGAATGACCACTGCTTTGTGCTCACGGAGTATCTGCAAAGAAGGGTAAGTGCAAGTAATGTCAGGCCCTGGACTAGACTCAAGGTTCAGCTCTATCAACCTATGTCTGTCAGGCTGAGAACCTATACATAAAGGAAAGACACAAAAGTTAAAGTACCAATGTATTGTGCGGATTGCACATATCACAAATATATGGAAGCACAAAATTATTTTAAAAAGTGATTTAAAAAGCAGACTTTAAAAGGCAATTAGAGAAACATAGAGTATATGCATAGAAGCTGTCTAAATAAAAGGCACCAGATTACTAAAAGGAAAACAATGCTAGAAAGAAAGAAAAAACCCAACAGGTTTCTTGCTGGTATATGATATCTGTTAGCAACAGGTGATCCTCTATAAAATGAACAGAACTTGGCACGCTGTGAATTACGTGCTACTAAAATAAAAGATTTAACCCACCAGCCTTACTGCTGATACCATCTCACTGTGCATTAGATCTATGCTTTAGGACAGGTTATGGCTAGTAAGTTGGTTATAGAAGCTAACAGATGTGGTACTGCAAAGTTTATTAATGATTTATTGATTTTTTTTTTCAGAAACAAACAAAAGAAATGACACCCTTGGTTGCCAATTTGAGGAATACTATTCTAGTGAGGATTTCCCATTGCTCTTTCAAATGTAGCAGGAATTCACCTATAAAATTCAAAGGTAGAGGGATAAAGCTTTAAAAGGAAGGCTACAAGTAAGATGAAGTGAAATAAAGGAATCTTAATTCTGATTTAATATTTAAAAAACAATATTACCCTAAACTTATAAACAATTTATTTATAACAAAAAGGTTGCCTTGCGAGATGAATTTATCACTCACAACCATCAAGCAGAGATTGTGTAAATAATTTCCAGGAATGGTAGAGAAGAAATTCTTGAAATTAATAAAGCTTGAACTAGCAAAACCTTCTAAGGTTCTTCTAGGCCTATGATTTTTATGAAGCAACTCTTACATGATATAAACGATACTTAAATGTATGCACATGATTAAGTACTTTTAGTGATTATTACAAATGGACACAACGTATCTCTTATGAAACTTCTTAAATGTAAAAATCTCTGAAACTATCTCTTCAAATAGATAGCAGTTTAACGAGATCATTAAAAGAACAGTTCCTATTTTTAGGTTATATATCTGAGAAAAATAACGAAAAAATGTGCCATTCTAGAGGATACATTTAAAAAATGAGTGGTTAAGCTTTACACCCTCAAATACAGAAGACACATAAGTGGAGGCCTTAACAGTATCTTCACCTAAGTCGAGGCTGCCTCTTTTGGTTGTTTTCCTAATGCTAAGGGAGCCTTCAGTTTCTACTCCGTCCAGTTACTGTGCATCATGCTGCAGTGAGGCTGGGCTTCCTGAGCTCTCCCTGAACATCACATCCCTAGGGAGCCCCTTGTTTTACCCAGATGGCTGGTGACCAACTGGACAACACTCAGTGATGGTAAATTGGAGGCTTGCAGACTTTAAAACTCAAGCAGCACACAGTGGCAAAGCTATTAATGCCCATTTTCCTATTCCATTTCCGTATTTTCATGTAACTTCAGACATTGGTCCATTCCTGTAATTTCAGTCAAATGGAAACAGTACATAATTAGAGCTTCCATTCTCATTTCATTTCCATCAGTGAGTCAGAGAAATTAAACAATACTCCTCTCCCTTTAAGATTCCCAAGCCCCATGAAGGGGCAGCTTGGGCCGGAAACACAGCCAGAAAGAGCACTAATGGGGTGCTTTTGGCCTATACGTGAGATAGCCTCTAATCTGCCGCCCCCACTGTGTCACCACAGTGGGAGCTGAGCTGGCCAGAGACTGCTGCTGCTAAACCAATGGCCTCAAAACCCAGTTCACATGTTCCTGAGGAGAGTAGTGAGGAAAACGGAAGGGTAACCAGTTTGCTGTATCTAAAAGGTCAAGTTTAATAAGGATTTTCCCTCCCCTGAAAGCTCGTGCTTGTGGAGAAAGAACACCAGACTATAAAGCAAGCACAGGTAGAAAGAAAGACCTGCAATAGCTGTCTACAAATTTTCTTCAAAACACACAACTATTAAACATGCTCATTCAAGCCTTATTAACTCTCTATTTTTCTTTGTTATCTAAAATTGCTTCAAAATAAGAAAGTAAAATACATACATGAATAGAGCCTAGGTCATGCTCACATACTGCCTATGATTAGAGACATGTCCCTCAAAACACTCTATCGATGCTCCTTTTAACAGTGGCGTCCATAGAGAGCTAAGATCCAGACTGGATTTCCTAAAGGACAGACTCAAAATCTTGCCATAATAAAAGAGAAAAACCTTTCATCAACTAGGTCATATATTATCAGAGGTGATGATTTAGATTAACCTGGTGATCCACTATCTAAAGTCATGTTGATTATTGCTAGATATAAAGATTATTTGTCAAAACTTTTAGAGCGCCATATTGCAATACAAGTTTAGCCACATTAATGTTATTTATTTCTTTTCCACCATGGTAAAATTATTCCAAGGTTATTTCATTCGTGGAACAATCTTCTACCCATTTGTCATATATTCTACCTAATCAAAGCCCATGATAGCTGAATAAAGGCTCCCAAAGATACCAGATCCTAATCTCTGGAATCTGTAAATGTTACATTATTTGAGAAAACGGTTTCCACAGATGTGAATACGTTAAGAACCTTGAGGGGAGGCGATTATACTGCATTATCCTGGTGGGCCCTAAATCCATCACAAATATTCTCATAAGAGACAGACAAAAGAAGAGAAGTTACACACAAAGAGGAGATGATGATGCGAAGATGGAGGCAGAGATTAAAGTGATGTGGCCACAAACTCAAAAAATACTGGAGCTACCAGAAGCTGGAAGAGATAAAGAACGATTATCCTCTAGAACTTCTGGAGAGAGTGCCGCTCTGCTGACACCTTGATTTTGGCCCAGTGATACTGGTTTTGGGTTTTTGGTCTCCAGAACTGTGACAGAATAAATTCCTATTGTTTTAAGCAACCAAGTTGGTAGTATAATTTATTATAGCAACCAAGGGAAACTAATATACTAACTTTTTTTCAAATCACATAGACAAGGGGAGGAAAAGGAGGTAACTTATTTAATATTTAAAAATGTACTTCAAATGTTGGTTGTCTCCATATGGCTCCTATGTCCATAGGAGCCCCTGTGGTGACTTTGTATAGATGTGGAATTTGATTAATGTTAATAGAATGAGTAAACAAAGTTGAAAACACTGCCTCACCTTGCGATACCTATTTCTGGCCAAGTAGCCTCGCAAATAAGCCTGAAGAACAATCGTGGCAGCTCGCTTTATCTTGTACCTCCTCCGGGTTACATACATACGCCAGTACTTCTGAATGGTAGTGGCTGCCTTGGTTCTGCGCAGGAACTTCGCATAGCTGGCCAAAGAAAAGAGTCGTGCATTTGTCAGTAATCAGAAAACCCCAGGAATGTATTTGGTAGAGATTTAAAGCACTAATATCTTTGGCATAACAAGTAGTACCTCCATGGTATCATTATAATAATACAGACATTAAATAAACATTTATATTACTTATATTTGTATAGCAATTTATAGTTCCCTAAAATATGTTTGCATTCACTATCTCACTTGAGCCTTCCCTAACCCTGAAAAGTAGGATGTCTCATATTACCTGATTTTACAATAAAGTAAAGCTCATAAAGGTTCATTCTTTCTAGCACAGTGCTCATCACCCAGCTATGTCCCCCTTTCATAGTAGACCAGCTGTACACTAATCCCATACTGGCTCATCACCAGCTTTCTTAGATGTATCTGTTGCTAATGTGCAATATTTCCCAAAATCTATTCATTTGGGCATAAAGTCTTTAGCATTAATTCATTTCTACTGATATTTCTAAATTAAAACCATCCTAATATGTAATCATACTGAAGTGTAGTTCTAGAAAGATCTTCTCAGGCAATGGCTCCTGAAAGCTCCTCAATTGAATCATTATTAACTAGCTCATGTTCATGACTGTTTTAATTTACAGATGATTTCTTCAAGCCCACATAAAAGTATAGAAACATAAAAAAAATACTGAGGACATGAGTATGCAGTAATTTGTAAATTTTTTTGGAGGATGAATCTGAATCATTCATAAGGGTGAACAGAATTTTATTTACTGTCCTATGAGTTAATTTGTTATTCCTTGAATCTAAGAAGAGGCGAGGTGTTGCCTTCTCAGGTAGGGTGACCGCTCAAAACTGTCCTAGGATGAACAATGAATCAGAGGAGCTCTCTAACTTAGCAGCCGCGAGCTGCAGCGGACAGGAGCGAAGAGACCTACCATCGGGCCTGGTAACCTCGCACGTATCGCTGCACAGTGATGGCCGCCTTCCGCATGCGCAGGTACTTCTTTCGCAGCAGCCACCCTCGGATTGTCTTCTGGATCCGGATGCAGGCAGCCCTCAGCTTGTCTGCCCTCAATTTTTCTAGATAGGCCACTTGACCGGCACGAAAAAAGATCTTTGTCTTACCAAACTGGTATTTGTCCTTGTCCTATTTTTGAAAGAAATTGTACACTCAGAAGTAGAAATAATGACCACATAAATGAAATTTTAAAAGAGAAAAAATTTGTCTAAAAGCAGAATCAGTAAAAGGATGAATCTACAAGCTAAAACTTGGGCTACATCACAACTAATGGAGCCATTTTTTTGATCCTATGCAAGCGGAGCAAATAGAAGGGATTTTAAGAAAAACTGCAGTGTAAGAGTTATTTTCCAGAATGATTCTACCTGGAATTATTATCTGAGGCCAAAACTTGGTTGTGGGTTATAGGCAGCTATTATTTGCTTGTTTGTGTTTTAAATGTTTCAGGGAATGGAGATGCTGACACTCCCTCTGACTGACCGGGCTGTAAGGGTTACATCGGGCTGTGTGCTCCGTGAGGAAGCTGAAGGGACAAAAAAACCAGCGTGAAGAATAAGGCAGGAAGTAAGGCACACAAAGTCGAAGTTAAAAAACAAAAAAACCTTGCTTATTCATGTTAGGAGTTAAGTTTGTTGTTATATCTTGGCTTTATCAACAGTATCTGAAAATAAACAAAACACTACGTGTGTGTTTAAAATCCTAGTACAAATTTCAGAACTCCTTGTACAAAAATATAATCTTGTATATTGCTCATTTACTTTTGATTATAAGCAGAGTGGAACAGTGAACACCAATTTTTGGTTTATTACATTCTGACTCACTTTATCTAGGAGCATGCAAGTTATTAACCATTTTCATATCAAAAGAAGAGTGGAATTTATTTATAATAATCACCACTGTGATCTGAAATTTTGTGTAAAACCAGAAAATCGCTTTTCACTGTAGGCAGATATCTCCTATCTTGTACATGAAACCAGAAAATGAGAAATATCCACATACAGAGGGTGCCAAAAATATGTATACACATTTTAAGCAAGGAAAAAACTGTATTAAAATTGCAATACATTGATGCATTTGATTAACGCCATCTTTTGAGCGAATGTCATATTACACATTGCTACTGTAATTCAGTTCAACTTCGAAAAGTAATACATAGATAACACCTCTTAAAATGTGTACATTTTGGGGGCACCCCCCAGTATATCTGTAACATCTAAAAGTATTTCGATTTTAATGAAGCTTACATAGGGAGCCTAACTGGAGATATGAAAAAGAGCTAGAAAGTGGTTCCCTCTCTTACTTCCTGCCCGTCTCAGCTTTCCCCACTCTACCCCACACCAACCCTGCCCTCTATCTTGAACCTTTGCCCTACAAAGTAGTCTGGGGGAGGAGGCCAGGCATAGGACGGTCCCTACTTTCCTCTCTACATTCCCATCTGAACCCAGGTTAGAAAGGAGTTGGGACAAACTCAAAAAGCACCAGATTCTTGTACACATTACAAAGAAAGTGGTCTTAGCTCTTTCAAAGAAAAAAATATTACTAAGAAGAGATATTATAGTTAACAGTAATTATGATTAAATACCTCAGGGTGAGGTAATCTATCCAAACTAGTGTCAAACAAGTGAAAACGTATTTTTAAAAATCTTTCATGAATCTTAAGCCCTCCATGAGGTAGATCAGGGGTTCTCAAAGTATAGCTCTCAGACCAGCATCAGCACCCCTTGGGAACTCGTTAGAAATGCAGGTTGTTGGGCCCATTCCAGACCTACTGAATCAGAAATCACGGGGGTGAAGCCCAGTAATCTGTGTTTTAAAAAGCCCTCCAGGGGACTCTGATACAGCTAACATTTAAGAACTCCTTTACTTAGAATGCAAGACTCCAAACACTAACCTATACTTCCTAAGCATTTTTTCTACTGTCCCACATACACCAATCTTATACTGCAAAGAAACTACGGTTTTCTGAGCCAATTCTATGTTTTCCTACTTCTTCCCTATTAGGAGATTCCACCACGCTTCCTATTAGAATATTCTCTTTTCACTTTTACACAATCTTACCCATTCTTCAGGGCCTGATTCTAAACACACATCTTCCTTCCCACAGCAGATGTGGCTTTGCCTTATCCTGATTTCTTGTCTCACTCCCTCAGCATTTGATAGACACTAAGGTACATTATATTTATCTTTAAAATACATTAACTTCCAAGACAGATTATGTTACCTTAAGACAAGACTTATTTTTTGCTTAATCACATAGCATCTGGCCTGGTATCTTCCCTAAGTAAGTAATAGGTAAAGTTTTATTGATAATGATCAAACTCTGAAAAGAATGTGTCTCAAGTCTGCATCCAGGCCTCACCATCCTGTTTCCTGAGAGTGGACCATCATCCTCACTAGTCAGTGCTCACATCCTAAATACAGTCAGCCTTGACCTCCAAGACAGTGTGGCCCTCCACTCTCCCTCCCCTGAATAATCTGGATTCCTGGTATTTGGATGCTCCCAGGGCTTTCAGAGATTACAATCACAAGGCCTTTGGCCATAATGTGTTCAGATAAAGATAAGTGAAAATCTTTCTTACCACTATCAGTTTTTCTAATACATTCTTGCATGTTTGCTTTCTGTCACTCAGCACATCTTTTTGTTTCATTAGGACACGGTAGCGGCTGAAAAATTCTTGGTAAGTCCACCTATAAAAAGAAACTCACATCAGCATATTGAAAGAAGTAGGAACCCTCCTGTTAGGACCCCTTATGTTTAAGAAACGCCACACTCACCGTGAGGGGAAACCCGCCGCACTGATTCGGATGGTCTCCAGGACACCACATGCTCTCAGTTGCTGCACTGCCCTCTTCTCATCAAACCTACATGTAAAAATGAAAATCATTAATACACAAAGAAGCCTGGCTATCGCCACAAACTACGCTTCTCAGCCCAGAGATTAAATTTTTCTGTAAAGAGCCAAATGGATAAATTAGGAAAGAAAACATTCAAAAGTTGGGACAGTGATCAAAAGGGTAAACTCCAGGTGAGAGTGAGGAGGACACAATTAGCAGTAAAAAAACCCCCAAAAAAGCCAAAATCATAAACGTTACCTGTCGTTCATACCACAAACTCAAGAAATGCCATTGAGCACATTTTATTTTTTTTTATTTTTATTTTTTTAGCTGAGCCATCCTGCTACCTGTTGGCAGCTCAGCGGCTGCTCAGCTCGGGCTGGACTCGAACCTCTGTTGCTCAGAGCTCAAACTCTTGAGCAAGCTCTTAACTAACTGAGCCACTCGGCCGGCCCATTGAGCACATTTTAAAAGACCCAAACTCCTCTGCACTTTGCCCATACTCATTACATGGCTTGGCCTCACTAGACATGCTCATAATTCTTTAGTTCACCATACACAGCTCCCCTGGAATAAAGTCTGGCCAGCTCTGGAGATCTCTCTAAGAAGAAGGGCAAATTCAATATGTCCTGTTCAGTTATCTTTTTTAAAAAAATACACTGGTGTTCTATTCAACTCAGTATGTATATACCAACCATTTATAGTGTCCACATCAATGAAAAATATTTTTTTGTATTATATCTTATTTTTATTTATGTTTATTTAACTCTAGACAAATGGCATCTTAACGTTAAACTGATCCTAAAAAAGGAAGTGGGAAGGCCTGCCTCTTGCGGGGCGATCACTCCTCTTACTCCCCCAGTTAAGCTCTGAGCAACCTCTCCAAGCCTCCGCTGTGCTCTCTTCTCAAGTGGTGCTGGAAGCTGGGCTTGGCTGATGGAAGGCAACGGCCTCTAGGGCTGTCCAGGAGAATGGCCCAGGGTGTGGCAGCTTCCGCCTCTTCCCACTTCCTACAGAAAGGGCTTCTTGGCAATGAGGAGGAGATAACGGTCTTTTAGAACAGCCCTGCCAACTAAGGCAAAATCTTCAGAGGGCAAGACTGGCAGGGGTGCAGGGAAACAAGCACTCAAACACTGTACAGTGGGAGTCGGAGCTATTACAACCTTGGTAAATGTGTTTAATCTTTGACCCGCAAATTCCACTTCTAGAAATACATTATCCTAAGGAGGTAATCAGGCAAATATATAAAAAGGTTTGACAAAAGATGTTTATCGCAGCATTGTTAGAATAACATAAATGGCAGTCACTAGGGAATAATTTAAATAAATGATGGTATGCCTATACAACTATACAATGGGATACTATGTAGCCATTAGAATGATGATGTGCGTTTTTATTTACTAACATAGAAAGCATCCACTATTTATTAAGATAAAAGCCAGATACAAAACAGCAATTACAGCATGAGCCCCTCCCTTTTATTAGTCTCTCTCTCTCTCTTTCCCTCTCTCTCTCTCTCTCTCTCTCTCTCTCTCTCTCTCTCTCTCTCNCTCTCTCTCACTCTCACTCTCACACACACACACACACACACACACACACACACACACAGAGCAGGGAAGGAAGACTTGTTGGCCAATTAATACCAGGTTTCTCTCTGGGTATAATGAGTGCTTTTTAATTTATTTTCATACAATTTTATATTTCATGAAAATTATTTTTACAGTGTGCATGCATTACTTTTAAAATATTTCCATTTTGAAAAAAAAAACCTTCCCCTTCATACATGGTATTTGACGTAGTACAATATGTTTGGTAAAAGTAGACATTTTCTGATGGTTTCAACATTGAAAAGTAGCAGGGATAACGCTGAGCCTTAACCAAAGGAGCCTTATCTCAACCAGCTCTGGTTTTAACTAATGCCCAAATTAACAAAAGTCCAGAAAGATCTTGAACTGAAGTAAATTTAAAACAAAAAATACAGCTAGGAATGCTTGGTTAACCTCAACTTTTAAAATGTTCAGGCCAACTGCTAATTTGTTCTCACATTCTCAAAGGGAACAAAAACTGAAAAAAATGCAACCAGAGCAATCTTGAGAAAAAAGAACAAAGCTGAATGCTCCCTGATTTCAAACACTACTATAAAACAATAGTAATTAAAACAGTATGGTACTGACATAAAAACAGACATATAGAACAATGGAACAGAATAGAGAGCCCAGAAATAAACCCATGCATATATGGTCAATTAATTTATGATAAGGGAACCAAGAATACACAATGGGGAAAGGATAGTCTCTTTAATAAATGGTGTTGGGAAAACTGGATAGCCACATGCAAAAGAATGAAACTAGACCACTATCTTACACCACACTCAAAAATTAATTCAAAATGGGTTAAGACTTGACCGTAAGACCTAAAATCATAAAATTCCTATAGAAAAAAACATAAGTGGTAAGGTCCCTGCCATAGGTCTTAGCAATGATTTTTTTAATCTGTCACCAAAAGTAAAAGCAACAAAGGTAAAAATAAATAAGGGGGATTACATCAAACGAAAAAGCTTCTGCACAGCAAAGAAAACCATTAACAAAATAAAAAGGCAACTTACTGAATGGGAGAAAATACTTGCAAGTCATATATCCAACAAGAGGTTAATATCCAAAATATATAAAGAACTCAGACAAGTGGACAGCAAAATAACAAACAATTTGATTTTTAAAATGGGCAGAAGGGCAGGCCGAGTGGCTCAGTTGGTTAAGAGCTCACTCAAGAGTGTGAGCTCTGAGCAACAGCGGTTCAATGCCCGGCCCGAGCTGAGCTGCTGCTGAGCTGCCAACAGGTGGCAGGATGGCTCAGCTACAAAAATAAAATAATAATAATAATAATAAAATGGGCAGAAGATCTGAATATGTATTTTTCCAAAGAAGACAAATAGAATGGCCAACAGATATGTGAAAAGATGCTCAAAATCATTAATCATCAGGGAAGTGCAAATCAAAACCACAATAAGATCACCTCACACTAGTCAGGATGGCTATTATCAAAAAGACAAGAAATAACCAGTGTTGGCTAGGATGTGAAGAAAAGGGAACCCTTGTGCACTGCTGGTGGGAATGTAAATTAGTTCAGCCACTATGGAAAACAGTATGGAGATTCTTTAAAAAATTAAAAATAAAAGACATGGAAACAACCAAAATGTCTTTCGATAGATGATTGGATAAAAAAGATGTGGTATATATACACATTGGAATACTACTCTGCCGTAAGAAAAGATGAAAGAGTACCATTTGCAACAATATGGATGAATCTTGAGATTATTATGCTAAGTGAAATAAGTCAGAAAAAGTAGAGAACTATATGATTTCACTCATATGTGGTATATAAAACTGAAAACAAAAGAACAAGACAAACAAATGAAGAAACAAAAACTCATAGACACAAAATAGTTTAGTGTCTACCCTTACCAGAGGGTAAGGGGTGAGGGGGTGGTAGATGAGAGTAAAGGGAATCAAGTATATGGTGATGGAAAGAGAACTGACTCTGGGTGGTAAACACACAATGTGATATATAGATGATGTATTACAGAATTGTACACCTGAAATCTATGTAACTTTACAAACAATAGTCACCCCAATAAACTTTAATAAAAAAAAATTAAAAATAGAACTACCATATGATCCAATAATTCCCCTTGTGGGTATTTATCCAAAGAAAACAAAAACACTAACCCCAAAAAATAAAGTCACTTCCATATTCAATGCAGTATTATTTACAATAGCCAAGATATGGAAACAGCCCAAAGTGTCCACTGATGGATGAATAGATAAAGAAATTGTGGTATATATAATGGAATTTTCTCTAGCCATAAAAAAAAGGCTGAAATCTTGCCATTTGCGACAACATGGATGGATGTGAGGGCATGATACTAAATAAGTCAGAGAAAGACAAATACCATATGGTCTCTCTCACATGCTAAATGTAAAAACAACTCTCTCTCTCTCTCTCTCTCTCTCTCTCTAAGTTCATAGACATAGAGAACAGATTGGTGGCTGCCAGAGGTGGGGAATGGAAGAAATGGGTAACGGGGGTCAAATGTAAAACAAAAAATTCTATTAACTAGTACTTTCCCTCTACAAGACATGAAGATTTACCCAATATTTTTTCCTTCTATTGGTTTGGTAACCCTTAAGAGATATGGATACTTTTAAACTGAGTAGTTGAGAAATACTTACGTGAATGGGAACTTGAAGTCATTAGGCTTAATACAGCGCACATAGTGAGGGGTAGTGGCATTGAGGGTCTCCATAAGCAGGTGAAGGGAGTTTCGGAACTGCAAGAAAAAGAGCAGAAAGGGGTATCAAGGTTTATCAAAGGCAAAGATGATGTAAATCAACTAAAAATTTTTTCCCATAACACTAGTAGAGATGACTTTGCTACCTGTGAACCTGACCCATCCTCAGAAAGGGAGCTGCTACTAAACCAGAATGTTAGAGCTTTAGGCTATAATTTGCTTACACTCTACCATTTACATGTTTACTCTGCTAGATATACATTCACTCTCTCCACCCTTTTTCCCCACCCACCTCCTTTTTTATAGACTTCTTAGAGCAATTTTAGGTTTACAACAAAACTAAAGAGAAGATACAGGATTTCCCACCCATCCCTTGTCCCCATTATCAGGCACAGCTTTCCCCATTATCAACATCCCTCACCAGAGTGGGACATTTGTCACAACCGATGAACCTGTGAGTACACTGACACATCATAATCATCCAAAGTCCATCGTCTATATTAGCGTTCACTTTTCCCACCCTCTTCTTAATACAGATTTCTGCAGCCTTGTATCGTGAACTCAGAATTTTGACTAAAAATATAACCTTACTTTAAGACTATGAAGCCCATTTAATCGTGTACAGTGGGAGTTTTGCTGTAAGATACTAAAAAAACTAGCAGATGGCTTAAAGGGTGTAGAAGATAAGCGAGAGAATGGGAGGGTACAGCCAGGGCGGCGTCACCATTGGGAACAGGAGATCAGGACTGGGGGCTGTGGACCCGTGTCAGGTCCTTCTGCCTGTCTGCACCGGGCACGGGGTCCCACGCACAGGAAAACGTGCTGATGGGAGCTCAGCCTCCTGTCCCAAGTCCCCAGCCACTGTTCAGGCATGAAGCACGTGCGGAATGCTTCCCACTCCCTACAGAGCATGAAACATCAACGAAAGGAGAGGGCGCTTTTTCTGGGCTGGAGGAGCTGATTGATGCTCTGTAGAAATCCAGAGAGGAAACCACAGGAGAACAAAGCACAGGCAGCAGTGGTCCGTGAGGGAGAACGCATGTGGATGAACTAAGACGCAGAGGAAGGAGAGGACGTTGTTCCATGCTCTCATAGTGAAAGCTCTAGCCTCTCCTCACCTGAGGAGCCCACTTGGGAGGCTGATGGAAGCCCTGAGGCTTCAGCTGAGCCAGAGGGGAAGGGGCGTCCCAGCAGGGGCTCCCTGAACTCACCTGGTGCCCCACCGTTTTCTTGTGCTCTTTGGCTGTCTGGGCTGACCGGCCTTTGGTGGGCTTTGAAGGAGTGCGGGTGAGGAGTGTACGCCCTGAAGAGGTGGCTGAGGCTGGACTGATGGCTTTCTCAACATCCTGAAATAATTCTGGTAGCATCTTAAACTGAGACAGAAACAATGAAAAGAAACTACATTTTAAACCCAAACTCAAATGTAAACCTTTACAGAAGCATTATGAAGATCTGCAATCCATAGTGACTCCCTTTCAGAGTCACATTCCAGAAAAAGTCAATATCTATGCTGGGAGCCAAAAATAAGAGACGAATGTGATATAAATGCTGCAAAAATATAGGTGGAAAAATGCAATAATTCTACAATCATGTTTGGGGGAAACAAAATCAAACCTACTCCATCAAGTTTTGAAATCCTAATCCACAGGAAGTGGCCACTATAAAAGTATTACTGGCTTTGAACTACAATACTTTTATGAGCAAAATACTAATTGAAAATCCTATCTTATTACATACCTCAGTTCCACAAAATGTTTTATCACCATGCTTCATTTGTCTGCCCACCAATTTAGCACCCGCTAAAAAATATCGCTAAACATCTAAGCAGGGAGAGTATCATGCACTAGCTCTACAGTATTATAAGATTAAAAAATAATTATAAATTAATAATAATTTTTAGAAAATAATTTGGATTACAGAAAAAAGTAAAAAACAAAAACAAAAACAAAAAAACCCTGTTCTTATCCTGTAAGCTTTGTTTTCAAGGGATTTATAATTTTATTGCATAATTCCTGTAATCGATTTTGTGTTATCAGGTTAGCAATATGAAAGTCTGTTAAAAGATATGGTACTTAGTAAGTGGGTGAGTGGTATTAGTCAATATGGTTGGGAGAAATTTTATGGAACAAAATAGACTTCAAATTAATTCATAAGAACATCTTGATATATGTCCATATCTTCATAACAGTGCCACATTCCATATAAATAAAATAAATCCTTCTCATAAGTGAAATTATAATTATAATTACCAATTATTTGTCTAATAATCTCAGAATGTCTCCGAAGAAATAATTTTCTAGAAGGATTTTTTCATTAAAAAACAAAATCAAATAATTTTGTTTGCCATTATTGTGTATATCAATCATAAGGATAATTTAGAAAATAATTCATGATGTATATAACAAATTGTTATATATAACATACCAATAATGGTTGCCTGCTACACAAATGAAAGTATCTCTTACTTTACAGATAAATAATATATTTTAGCTTGGTTGGCTACAAAGAAGAAAAATATATTTTATCATTATCTTATATTACAATGTTAAAACTGTGTTCCAAAGGGGAAAAATAAGAGTTCCTAAAGATTTGATTTGAAAACTCTGCACGGGGTTAAGGTGCTAGGCTATTTGATGATAGGCCAAGTACTTCAGAATCTTATCTATGCTATTTTATCATTTCCAAATAAATTGCTCGCTCTATATTAGCATTGCCTACCTAAACTTTGTTTTCCTCTCTTCTGTGTGAAATGGTTAATAGAGCTGGGCTCTAATATCATATTCAACATTAGGTGCTACAATTTAACTTAATATCTACTAGAAAATTGCTTAGTGGTCAGAGTTCAGAATACGTACACATATATATGCATACACATCATGTGTATGGCTTCCTCTTCAAAGGAACCATAAATTAAGAATTCTCTACATTGAGCTTTCTTTAAAAAAAAAAAAAGAGTACATTTTACATTGTTGTATTATAAACTGCTCTATAATTTCTTCTTTAGGCAGTTGTTCTTGGCTCATCATGCGCCATTTTTCTCAGCTATCTTTCCTGGCCCTTCCTCGGGCCAGCCTCTAGAAGTTGGAATGCCGACAGACTCTGGCCTTGCTGACTCTCTACTATTTTTTATCTACTTGTTCTCCCTAAGCAATCTCAGCCAGTCCCATTGCTTAAAATACCATCTAGTTCTAAAGACTACCAAACTTATATCACCTACTCTGACTTTCCCCACAAACTTCTGAATTTCATTTCCAACTTCCTATATGACATGTCCACTTGGATTATCTGATTGCCATTCAGGCAAAATACGTCCAAGGCAGAACTCTTGATTCTTTCCCCCAAGGCCTGATTTTTTACAAGTCTTCATCTCAGTAAATGGTACCATCACCCATCCAGTATCTCAGGCTAAAAACATAGAAGTCATCCTCAATTTCTCCCACTCTTTCACTCTCCATATTCAATCCATCAACAAGACCTGTCAACTCTATCCACAAGTTATATGCCCTCTCCACTGCTACAGTCTGGGTACCTCAGTCTACCTCTCTCCTACATCACTACTGCTTCATCTCCACTTATACCAAATACACCCCCTCCCAGCAGCATATCATTCCCCATATGAAAGCCTTCCAGGTTTTCCATGGCAATAGGAATAAAATCTATACTCTTTACTATACTTCCCTCCAGAAAGTGGCCCCCGTCTATCCATCCTACACATCCTATTCACCTACCGTGCTCCAGCCACACTGGCCTTCTTTTTGGACCTTAAACACAACCAGCTTACACACTTGTTCCCCACTCGCTCTTCGATCTGCCTTGATGTGTCTGTCTCCCATTTTTCAGGGTCCAGCCCAGATGTCACTTCCTCAGAAAGGCCCTCCCTGACCATCCAGCTAATGTAGACTTACTTACTCTCTTGCTTGATACCCTATTTTACTTTCTTTATAGCACTTACCACTTTATGGTATGATATTATCTAAATGTTTGATGAAGTGGTTATTACCTAGCTCCCCACAAAAGCAGGGACCTTTGCCTATCTCATTGACCTTGTTTACCTAGCTAAATTCCCAATTTTCTTAAATCATTTATTGAAGAATTTATCCATTTTCCACTGACTGAGGATGCCAGCTTTATTTAAAGAGAGGTAGACAGATATACAGATATATAAGTAGATAGATGTGCCTGGATATTCCACCTTGTTTCTTTTATCTATCTATCTATCTATCTATCTATCTATCTATCTATCTATCTATCTATCTGTCTATCTATCATCTATCTCTAAGATAGGGAATTGCTTAAGACTGAATTGCTTAAGACTGAACTTATATGTCTAGGAAATAGTGTTAGAGAAAACAGAAGAATCCAAGTAAGAGCTTCGTGAAGATGTGGGAAATCATTTCAGTAATAACATTATTCACTAAGAACTTTTTGTATATAAAGCGCTGCTATAAGGGCTTAATAAAACTTACTTAATAAATAAGTTTTAATAAATAAAACTTAGTCCTCATTAACAACCCCTTAAAGTAGACACAATCACGCTTCTATTTTATAGATGTGAGATCTAAGGCATAAATTCAGTAGATGAACTGTGCTTCCCCTCATCAATTAGCACATGAAAATTAGGGGTTATGACTCTTTTTAGTGATATTTGGTAGAGTTGCAATTCAGTAGTATTTAGTGGAGTTGCAATTCATGCATGTGCTCTCTGATATCAGATGTGCCAACATAGGACTTCTTTATGGTGAAAAAATATAAATTAAGACACTTTCTGTTAAGTTCCTAACACCTTAATTCCTTTTCAAGTTGTTGATTTGGCTAGAGGCTACAAAATTAAAGAAAAAAAAAAGACAAAACACACACACAAGTAAAACTCCACACTGCATTAGCACAAAACTAATTCTATTCAAAACACTTAAACAAGTATTAACTTTGTAAAATTAGTACTTCCAAGAGAACAAATCAATACTATATTACACTTGCTTCCTATCAGGTGCAAAGAAATGAAAATATAAAGTTCACACCCTTAGGTTGGGTTTCTGCTGACTGGGAGCAGGGGAGGCCTTTAAGCTATGTAAATCACACACTGCTCCCATTCCAACTGCGACAATGCTACATAGGCTGGCAGTCACTCCAAATTATGCCTTAGAATGCATAGCTACATTCTAATAATTAAGCTGATAACTATCCAATCTGAAAAGTTGAGTCAGAATAAAGACACAACTGATTATGGGTGCTTGGGAATGAGAACCTGTGGATGTTCTATTTAACCTAAATTACTTAGGCAGAGCAGTAACCCTAGAATTTCATGGTTTTCATCACTATTGTTTCATCAAAATTATTTATAATCTTTAATGGAATAATACTGAGAGAGGAGGATATGTAAAAACTGACTCTTTCTACAGACACCTAGACTTATTATTTTCTGAGTGTTAAAACTGGGATTCTGTCTTTATATGATTTTTATATTATCAAAATAACTGAAAGTAAAAGTTTTTATTCTAAAAACAAGAGTCAAAATGTTCATATAATATTCTACTGTAGTTAAAAGGACTGTTTTAGAATAAACCAGAGAAACAAAAAGTGCTAGTCAATAATCTAGAAGACTCTGCATGAATATTTTTAGGTTTTTACTGATTATTTAAATATTTATTTTGCTAAACTGAGTAACTGGTTTCCTGGTTTGCTCCTTACAGAATAAAAGTGAGCTGTGTCTCCCTCCCCATTTTTTCCTGATGAGAGTCAGAGTGGAGGCTGGGATCAACATAATCATCTAGTGTAACCACCGTAGTTATTAGCTATCTGGATAATTCTTTTCCCACTAGAAAGCAGTGTTTCTAATATATATACCTAGGAAAAATAATTTCAAAGTTCTCTGGGCCACATGTGAAGCTGTACTCAATGACCCCAAGATCAACCTCCGTCTGGATAGGGTGTGTAAGGCCATGTTTCTAGGGTAGCTCTTCAAAATGACACAGAAAAATACCATTTTCTCTCACAGTCTCTCACAAGGGCACAAGAGTCTAACACTGTTGCGGAGGGAATAACTTCACACAAAACTGAAAGACAACATTGCATTGTGGTTCAGAGCACAGACTCTGAGCCAGGCAGCCTTGGTTCTAATTTGGCTTGAAAATGCATTAGCTATAATGTCTCCTTGATTCATGCATCTCTTCTGTAAAATGGACAGAATAATGATAATATCTCATTGTAAGGATTAAATGAGTTAACATTTGTAAGGCATTTAAAACAGGACTTAACACACAGTAAGTGTTATGTATCGGATAAGCCGCAAACTAACAAGAAGAGTGCTTTTGTTAGAAAAATCATTATTATTGCTAAAAAGCTAACGCTTAAGTAATTAACATTTTATTGAATATATCCTGACTGGAGAAAACCATAGACATGGTTACCTTGCTTGACTTAAGAACTTTAATTTGTTCTTCAAAAACGGTGTCTTTATTCTTTTCCAGAAAGCCTTCACACTGGTATTCCACCTGAAAACACATGGAAAAACCTCCTTAACTAATAAAACTTTTGAATAGATATTATAATCATCAACAACAAAAAAATGCATTAGGCTCAGGCTATGTGACCGGCTCTCAGCAACATGGTATCATTGCTTTTATTCTAAGAAACTAGAACTTGGTAAGAAGCATGTTAACTCCAGAGTAAAACTCCCCAAATATTGTTGTTCCTAGGGAACAGTGGTAGTACTGACTAACTGTAGTCTAAAATATCCTCCCAAGTCACAGGTAAGCAGCCCCATATGAGGTTGATTCTCGCCTCCCATGTTGGCAGCTCCTCCAAGCCTGACCCAATGTATCTCCTTCTAACCTAGTTCACCATCCAGCAGAGGTAAATTTCCTCTTGGGAGAGAAGAGATTAAAGAGAGAGGGGATTAGCAAGAATAAATGGCTGTTTGACAGAGGGAAAGTAGAAGAGCTGACGATGGATGGAGGTGGAGGCTGATAAGTACTGTATGATTTGGTAAGAGGAACTACTCTAAAATGAACTGTTCCTGCTTCCAAAACTCCAGGGACTTCAGCATCTACCATTCACGGGGCTCCCAGCCTGTACCACAAAGCCCTCAGGTGGCCCTAAAGTTATTCTAAGGCTTCTAGCCAGGATTACAGTGGACTCAGAAGGCTCTCAAACCCTGAAGGAGACCCTGGGAAGCGTATCCTAAAGCCTACCTCACAACCTCCTTGACATATAAATTAGTCTCATGGCTCACAGGAGACTATGGAACTTCTGGAGCTGCCTGCCTTGTTAGTAAGGATCCAGTGAATCAATCACAGAGGGTGACACAAATCCACAATTTCTATCCTGAAATCCTAAAGCTATGCTTTAGAACTCAGAATTTTTTAGCAAAGTCTGAAGCAACAATCTGCAACCAAACATATTAACATTTCTATATTGAAATATATAAATATCCAGCCTAACTGGGATAAATAAAGACTATAAATAACCTCATGTTAGTCAAGAGATCAGGTTTAGCCACCAAAAGACTTCTGGTTTTCAGAGTTTCTTGGATTTCAAAATTACAGATAGAGGATTATAGACCCATATTTATTTCATAATATAATTCTATTTAAGTTAAAGGAAGAGAAAAACAATAATATAACAATGAAGATTATTTTTCCTATAAGGCCTTAAAGAATGCAAACTTCAGCAAAGAAAAAATGATACCTCTTGCCTATTGATTTTTTCCCCTCTGAACTTAAGTATTCAAAAAGAAAAAAGATAATAAAGCTTCCTTACTTTATCTGCAAAATGTTGGATGATGAAAGCTTTGTTTGATAGACGAGGCTTTTCAAACAGTGCACATTTGTTCAAATGTGTGTTGTACAATTTTTGGGCCCAAGTATCATCTGTACCTTTAGGCATCTACAGTCAGTGAAATAAAAAAGAAAGAAAGAAAACAAGATGAATATTGTTATGAGACTCTTCCAATGCATCAATCAAGAGACCATTTTTTGGTTTCACCTAACAATTTTGATATTCAATTTAGGAACTCATTCTTTTCACATTTCTCTCTTAGAGGCCAAACACCAATTATTAATGAAGAACAATGCTTGAGACCTTCCCATGAGAGAATCAGCCCAATCTTTGGGCAACTCAATCTGCCTGTACCAGAAATCATCAAATAAATATTCGATTTGCTTTTAAAACAAAGCCTCACAAATAAAAGATGATATATCATTACATCATGTATTTTCTCAAAACTTGTTAAATAAAAGTAACGTTTGCACATAGTGAAATATTCACTAATTCAGAAAGGTATAAAATGGAGAGTAATTTTCTGGATGCTCAGGAGGATCAATCTATGTTTAAGTTGTAATTTACGGCATATAAACTACAGAGAAATTAAGAGAAAGACTAGGTTATTTGTCTAATATCACTCAGTTAGCAGTAAAGCTGGGGATCTCATATTTTTCCAACTTGCTGCACCTTCAAATATTAAAGCTAAAACTTCCTCCCTATTACACATATCAGTAATAAAAAACAAATAGTCAAATTTTAAACTATGTATATTTAGAACTATTATTCTAAATATCTTTTGTACAATTTCTTGCATTTCTTTAAGTATATCATACCACCGGACAAAAAGTACCAAATATAAGCACACTCATCAACAAAAGTGGCTAAAATTGGTAGTAGTTGTATCTAATGTCAATTTTTCATAACTTAGAATCAGCTGAAAAGAAAAGGGAAATTCTCCTAGTTCCATTTGTATTTAAAGTCCTTTGGGTGTAGTGACCCTTCAGAATGCAAGTTAGAGTGAGCCCCACATGGCACCTCATGGTGTACTATGAATCTCTGCTTAAACCCACTTACCTTCTGACCTTGATATATCTGTTTTGATAGACTAAGTACATCAGAAAATCATATTTACCTTGCATTCCTCATCCAGCAAATCTAGAATACCCAGTTTAGATTCTATAAGATTAATGCAAGGTTGATTATCATAAAAATCTATGAGAGTCCATGGAATTTGTTCCTTCATATATTCCTCTTGCTCTAATTTGAAGACATGCTAAAAGAAAAAAGAAAAAACGTGGCATTACTGGGTTATTATCATAAATGATGTTAGTCAAGAAACAACATTTATGTAAAACACTCTAAGAGGATACCAACATAATTTGAGATAGTCCATGGCTTCCAGAAACAACAATCTTGAGAGAGAAACATCATTTACATACAGAGAACAGTAAAAGACAGCAAAAAAAAACCCCACAGGCAGTAAAACCTCAGCTATATACAACACCAAGACACATCATAATTAAAATACCAAAGGTTAAAGACAAAGAGAGAATCTTAAAAGCAGCAAAAGAAAAGCAGTTAGTTACCTACAAGGGAGCGCCCATAAGACTATCAGCTGATTTCTAAACAGAAACTTCACAGGCCAGAGGGATTGGCAGGAAACATTCAAAGTGATGAAAAGCAAGGACCTACAACCAAGATTACTCCACCCAGCAAGGCTATCGTTTAGAATCAAAGGAGAGCTAAAGAGCTTCCCAGACAAGAAAAAGTTAAAGGAGTTCATCACCACCAAACCAGTATTACAAGGAATCTTACAGGGACTTCTTTAAGATGAAAAAAATAAATCAATACAAAACATGAAGAATAAAACGGTAATAACTACATACTGACCAACAATTACTTTAATGTACATGGATTAAATGCTCCCATCAAAAGACAGGGTGACTGAATGGATAAGAAAACAAGAGTCTTACATATGCTGCCTACAAGAGACTCACTTCAGACCGAAAGTCACACACAGACTGAAAGTAAAGGGATGGAAAAAGATATTTCATGAAAATGGAAACAAACAAAAAAGTTGGGTAGCAATACTTACACCAGACAAAACAGACTTTAAAACAAAGACTGTAACAAGAGACAAAGAAGGACCCAGTAATCCAACTTCTGGATATTTATCCAAAGAAACCCAAAATGCACTTTTGAGGGGACATGCTCCTCCACATGTTCATTGCAGCATTATTTACAGTAGCCAAGATATGAAGGCAACTTGGGTGTCCCTGAATGGATGAATGGATAAAGAAGAAGTGGTACATATATACAATGGAATTTACGCTGTTGTAAAAAAGAATGAAATCTTGCCATGTGACACGGATGGACCTAGAGGGTATTGTGCTGAGTGTAGTAAGTCAGACAGTAAAAGACAAATGTCACATGATTTCACTTATAAGTGGAATCTAAAGAACAAACTAAATAAACAAATAAAACAAACAAACTTATACAGAGAATGCTTTAATGGTTGCCAGATGGGAGGGGTGTTGGAGGTGGGTAAAAAAGGGGAAGGGATTAAGAAGTACAAATTCGTTGTTACACAGTAGTCATGGGGATGCAGGGTATAACATAAGGAATATAGTAAATAATATTGTAATAACTATGTATGGTGTCAGATGGGTACTAGATCTATCAGGGTGATAGATTGGGGGAGGTTGGAGGCAGGGTGAAAAAGGTGAAGCAACAAAGAAATACAAATTGGCAGTTAAAAAACAGTTATGAGGATGTAAAGTAAAGCATAGGGAATATAATTAATAATATGGTAATAACTATGTACAGTACCATGTAGGTACTAGACTAGTCAGGAGGATCACTTCGTAAAGTATATAAATGTCTAACCACTATGATGTACACCTGAAATTAATATAAAATAATATTGCATGTCAACTGTAATTGAAAAATTTTAAAAGAGGGGAAAAGGTGAAGGGGAATAAAAGGTTCGAAGTTCCAGGTATAAAACAAATAAGTCATGTGGATGTAATGTACAGCATAGGGAATATAATCAATAATATTGTGATAGGGTGGCACAGTGTCAAATGGTTGCTGGACTTATGGTGATCACTTCTTTAGCATAGGGAATACAATTAATAATATGATAATATAGTGCAAAGTGGGTACTATTGAATAACTATGATGTACATTCCTGAAACTAATATAATATTGCATGTTAGCTATATTTTAATAAAAATCTTAAAAAAGCAAACCCTCAGCTATATAGGGTTCTTGGTAAACAAGTAAATCTAGGTATGTGACTGTTTGAAATATTAAACTGATAAGAACAGATACTACATTTGATCTTAGCCAAAAGGCCGAGAAGCGATTTACTGTTTTAAATAGCTGATAAATATAAGTCTTTTCAATTTTTTTGATATGTATACATCTCAAACTGCATTATATACCTTTTAGCCTCCTAAATTATTGCACAGTGCTATTAAAACAAGGGCACAGAAATGCCTTAGCTGGCCTTGAACAACTATGCCGAGTGGATGCCCTCTAGACTACTGAACCATGCTGGGCGATGCTTATGGCCTAACAAAGTAATCCTCTTAGAGGCCTGTGGTGTTGAAGTTCATATGCTTCAGAACTGGATAATAGTCAGCCTTTTGTGTTGGCCGTGATTATTCTCTACAGTCAGTGTATCTATAGCTTACTTTTTGGACTCTACATCCAATCCTGTAAGCAGCTGCAGTCACTACCAATTCAGCACTACTTCCACTAAATGCACCCCCATTGCTTCTGATCTCCACTTACTCGTTCAAGCAAAAATATGGATTGACGGCCTACTACATGCCAGTCACTAAACACCACTAACAAAAGAGATGTGGGCTCTAGCTCTCATGGAGTTTGTAGGCTAGTGGGAGAAACAAACAGAAATCAAATAATCATAAGGACTATAATTCAAACTGTAATAATGTTACAGAGGAAAATAGTGCGAGCTATTAGAGCAAGAGTCCTCATCTAGTTTGGATACAGGGTAGTGAGAAAAGGCTTCACCTGAGTTCTGCAGGGGAACCGGAGTTAAGTTAGTCCCGGTGAGAAGGGCAAGCCCACCTCTGCTGCAGCCCCTGCTTCAGGCCACCTAGCCAGTCAATGCAGCCCACCCACAACTTCTAGTCTCCTCAGATGCTAATGACTTCTACTTGTTAGCGCTTGGAGGTTTCTGCTTTCCTTTACTTGCCTTTTGTCTTCCTTAGTTCTCACACATCTTGCTACTTTTCTGGGATGATAAGCCCTCTGTGGCTATGACCAGACAGCACATGTAGGAGCCAAAACCCCATGAAACTTAGAGGTCACCAAGATTTCTGATACATCAATCTCCTCAGGCACCTGGAACTTTCCCACTTTATTCTATACTTACAATGCTGCTCTTGGCTCATCTGCAGCATTTATAGTCTAATCAGCTGCAATAAACTTTAGTTAAAAAAAAACCCAAAAACCCACGGTCAACTTTATGAATATTTATGTCATGCTAATTAAAAAGCAAATGTCTTCTGTTCTTTTGATTAATGAGAAGACAAATAGGGCACCATGTATCAGCAGGATGCCTTGACTGATGGAACCAATATTGTCCAAAACAACGAGCTGTGTTTTTTTAAATTAATTTATATGCAGTCTCCACAGTGACAACAGAAACACTGCTCCAGACTTTAAATAGGACTTGTTTCTCACACATCTCTGTGTCTACATTTGGAAAAGTCTATGGGGTCTCAAAAATTTTGGATGCTCAATTGTCAAAAGGACAATGTGGGCATGAGGTTCAATATTACAAGAAATCCTTGGTCAATATGGTAATGCCTCCAAGCACGAAACATGCCAGTCACTGCGTTTCTCACGCCCACTGCCCACCCACAGCTCCTGCTGAGGGAGCTGCCCTAAGCAGCCAAGCTCTTTCCCGTGAGACCCCATGTTCCTAGTCACAGCTGACTAGACCAAGTGTGGGTACGTATGTACCTGAGGGCACACTATTGCCAGAGACCTCTGATGAAAAAATGAACTGGGTTAATTAGATTCTCTTTCTCAGGTATAAGAATTGGGAAACAGGCAAGTAGCAGTGGACGCTGACACTGAAAGAAGAATGGAAGCTACGCAAGTTAGGAGAATGGGCGGAGCACTCTAACCACTGCTGGGTTCACAGGAGGTTTGAAATGAGGAAGCAGGAACTTTGAGGATGCAGAAACCTTGAGGTAAAGAAAATATGTACAGAATAGAAGGAGAGAATATGCCATTTGATAATAAGAGGGCAGTTGTGCAGAGAGAAGCTGCGATGCAGTATGGTATGTGTGTGGTGTGTGGTGTGTGTGTGTGTGTGTGTGTGTGTGTGTGAGAGAGAGAGAGAGAGAGAGNAGACAGACAGACAGACAGACAGACAGACAGACAGACAGAAAGAGGGAAAGAGAATCAGAAACACATTCAGAGACCCAAGGCATTTGAGAAATAGACAAACCAGCCAGTCCCTAATGAGGCTGACTCTGGTTCCTTATATTTCATGTCACCTTGTGCCACAATATACTGGGAAAGAACAGAAGGCTACGGCACTCATTAAAGTGTTAAGAGACTCTGAAAAACATTGAGAAAAGACAGTGCTTAATTTGGTTTCTGATGGGATTTTATTAATGTTCCTTATGCGGAGATGAAAAATACACCCATCACACTCTTACGGAAACAGTCATAAGCTTAAGGTTTTAAGCTGACCTCTATATTATTGTGCGAAGTAGCTTAATCTGCTAAATAAAGATGGTCTAAATTTTTATCAAAGCATATGCAATATTTTAAAAAAATCAAATGGTCTAAAGATTTTATGATGACAAGCAACAATTCCTTGTCCTATCCCTCCCCAACCTCAGTCTCACTCCCTGGAGGCAACCATTTTTAACTCCCTTAGCTATTTCTTTTGATATTTACCTTTAAAGAATATGCATATCTGCTATTTTTTTATTTATTCATTTGAAACATTATCTATTGATTTCTTGATAAGATAGATGAGTCTAAATTCACATACACCACCTCTTCACTGCTCCTCCCCTATCCTCCCAACATTACCATTTTTAGATCTTTTCATTTTTATTAATTTTGTAACTTAAAATAATACATATATTTAAACTTCTATTTCTTCTTTATCACCAATAGACTATACCACTGGATCTCCCTCTTTGTAAGATGAGGAAATTTATTAAGGGTCCTTTTCCTGTCCTTCAGCCCTCTTCTCTTCCATGTGTCTTCCAATTCCTATGGGTGACTCATTTTTAATATCCTCTTTCAACAATACTATTAACCATCCCTAACTTGCATACAGAACTGTGCAGGCACATGCTGAGCACTTCATATATCCTAACTCATTTAACCCATACAACTAAATGCATTAGGTACTATTATTATCCCCATCATACAGATGAGGAGACTAAGCCCAGGAAGGTCAATTAACTTGCCCAAGGTCCCCTGGATATTTAGTGTAGAGTAGGATACTAACCCAAGCCATTAACCTCGGGTGTCTGTCGCTTCAGTACAATCTAGTACCCCTCATTTTTTAAGTGTCTCCATATCCCCCAACACCATGCTAATGTTCTAAGATATTTCATATTACTACTTCACAAGAGTTACTCTCGGTTCGAGTCCAGCCTGAGCTGAGCAGCCACTGAGCTGCCAACAGGTAGCAGGATGGCTCAGCTTTAAAAAAAAAAAAAATGTAGAAAAAAAAATTTGCTCTGATTTTTTGTTCTGACATCTTGCTAATACAACAAATTGGAGTTAACTCCACACATAATTAGCCTCAGGGACAACAAACTGAAGGATATCCCTAGGCTTAAAGCTTCATACTCCCAATGTTACTACCTAACACACTTTCTGCTCCTCTCCTTCAATTTATTTGAACCAAATTTTCAATATTCTCAGAAAGCAATCCAAGAAGGACCTTGATTCCTATCTGGACCATAAACATTTTTCTAATGTTGCATCATTTATTAATCATAAATTCCGGTTTCGCTGTTCTAAACCCCAGATAACAATTGTAATTCACAACTTCATTTCAGGAACCAAACTTTAAACACAGACTAGGAATTCAAGAGAATAATTTATAGCAGAATATTATTCAAGGAAGAAAATTCTTACCATATTGAATTGTTGCTGTAGTTTTTCATTTGCATAATTTATGCAAAACTGTTCAAAACTGTTTATCTCAAATGTTTCAAATCTGTAAAACCAAAAATAATACGGGAAGAGAAGAGAACAAATAACTTTTTAACAATTTTCAAAATGTGCACATTAGAAAAAAATTGGAAATTCCCAAACACTGTGAAACTTTTTTTCCACATCAGTGAAGATAAGGTTATAAAGTCAGTAACATGGGATGTGTACTCAGCAGTCAGGCATCAGCCAAGGGGCTGAGAGATTTTTTAAAAAGGCTCCAGCATGCACAATTGTTCAACACGTGAGTTTTTGAGGGCTAATTCATCCCAAATGGGAAACACTCAGAATTATGAAAAAGCCATTGCTTCTGTATAGAAGGGAACTGGGAATAGAGATTTCATAGGTTCTTCTGAAAAAGTGAACCAGTAATCCAAAAGCACAAATGTACAGGAAGCATTTTAACAATTAAAGAAGGGTACCCAGCGAAGGCAAACTAGCAAATAAATTTAGATTTTTAGTAATTCTCTTCTAATTTTCCCTTCTCCTCACCAGTAGGAGACAGAATCAAATATCCACATAGAGTCACTAGAAAATTCACTAGAAAGAAATGCTCTCTGGCAGACTACTAAGCCAATATACTTACCCATAAATGTCCAGCACCCCAATAAATGAGTGCTGTTTCACAGAAGAATGGAGAGCCTTATTGACGTGATCTACAATCCAGTTGAAGAGCTTGGCATAGATGTGCTTGGCCAGAGCATCACGGGCATTTGTGGCCTGCAGCTTGGAGATGGGCTTGATGTACGTTTCCGAGGTGGTAGCCAGCTTCCGGTGGCAGAGCCAGTGACACATCTCCTCATAGTCCACGCCCATGAGGTCACAGAAGATGCTGAGAGGTTCATGCTTGGGCTGCAGAAAGAGAATGGGTTATTTCCTATGACCAGATCAATCAAATAAGAATTCACTGAAAAATACTAATCGAGTGGTAACAAATAAAACCTAGCAATTTCTTTGTTATAACCAACACCAAGACCGCTGAAAGCTGATCAGTGATAATAATCACAATCATCCATCAAACCAGCATCTAGGCAGTGTTTTACATTCTCTTCTAGGGTTCATTTCAAAAATGACCTCTTCCTGTCTCTTCATAGTATTTGTCTGTATCTCTCTTTAGGCACATTCAGTCAATCAGAAAATCAGTCAGCCTGTCAACAAATATTTACTGAGTGCCTCTTACATGCCAGGAAACAAAAACAGACATGGTCCATGTCCTCCTAGAATTTATAGTCCTAGGGGAAATGTATATTAATCAAACGATTACTCCCTAAAATGTAAAATGACTGCAAAGGAGAAAGACACTATCCTAAGATTCCATGTGCGATGAGTGTGCCCTATTCAGGGGGGCAGAAGACAGTTGCCTTGAGACATGGAGATGAGGTGTTAACTCAGTGAAAGGGAGAGGAAATGGTCTGAAAACCCTGTGGTGGGAGGCGTACCAGCAATATGAGGGACTGAAGCTGAGATGAAGCCAGAGAGACATTCTATTTGAATGGTGTTACCATATTGTTCTATTAGATCAAGGTTGTGAACTGTTTGGTTCAAATTTTCTATAACTTTACTAATCTTTTAACTTCTTCACCTGCCAATAATCGAGAGAAATCAGTAAGCTCCCACTATGATAGATTTGTCCATTTCTTCTTGTGGTTTCTGTTATTTTTGCTTTATATATTTTGCGGCTTCGTCATTAAGTACGTGTAAGTTTAGAACTGTTACATCTTCCTGGTGAATAAAATGTCTATCATTACATATTGACTCCATCTATAGTACTGCTTTTGGCCTCAAAGTCTATTTTGTCCAGTATCATTATAGCTCTGCCAGGTTGTTGGGTTTTTTTTTTCTTCTAGCTATTATGATGTGTCTTTTCTAAACCTTTTATATCAAACTTTCTGTACCTTTCTGTTTAGGGATGCTCCTTTCAAAAGTATATACCTGAATTCTTAAGCCAGTCTGACAATCCATTTTAACTGAAACATTAGTCCATTTGTAATTATTTTGTGTCTTTATTTGTCCCACTTTTTCTCTCCCTTTCTTGATACATTTGGATTGTTTTTCAGTCCATTTTCCTCTCTAGTAGTTTGAAAGGTTTACTTTCTGTTTCCACTTTTACAAAAGAAGCATTAACTTGTATTAGTTAAGTTAATGTAATTTAATAACACTAACTCCAAACACCCTCATCCCAATCTATGTGCTCTGTTATCCAGGACTTTAGTTCTATCTTTTGTGGGGGATAAGGGGCTGGTGATTCACTTTATTTCTTTTTTTTAACTTTTCACTTTCAACTAATCTTAGACTAAGAGAAAAGTTGCAAGAATAGAACAAAAAATTCCCTTTACCCAGATTCCATAAATAAAGTATTAACATTTTACCACATTTGTTTGTATCATATTCTCTCTTACTCTTTCACATACGTATCCACATACATTATTTTTTTAGAAGCTCTTGAGAGTAAGTTGCAAACATAATAGCCTTTTAGTCTTAAATATTTCAGCATGCAATTTCCTAAAAACCAAAGACATTATCTTACGTAACTATGGTATAATGAACAAAATTAGAAAATTAGCAATGGTACAACCCTATTTTCTAACCTGTAGATCTAATTCAATTTTGGTGATTGACTTATTAATGTCCTCTGTGGAAACACACACACACACACACACACACACACACACACACACACACACACACATCCATTTCTATGGTCCAGGATTCAATCTAGGTTCATGCATTGAATTTAGTTACCATGATTCATTAGTCTCTTTTAATCTGAACGATTCTTCACTTTTTTTGTGTTTTGTGACCTTGATACTTTTTTAAACCTCCCTCAATTTGAGTTTATGTCATATTGCCTCATAATTAGAACTGGGTCATGCCTTTTAGCAGGAATACCAGAGAAGTGTGTTGCACCCTCCTCAGTGCGCCATATCAGAAGTTATGTGATGTTGACTGGTCCCATTACAGGTCATGTCAACTGTGGTCACTTGGTTAAGGGAATGTCCACCAGATTTTTCCTCTGGAAAGATACTTTTCCCTTTGTAACTAATAAGTATTTTGTGAGGAGTTTTATCTTTTGCCGCCCAATACATTATTCATTATAATTTTTGTTTTAATTAATCAACTTTTATCTACATTTGCCTATGTTTTACTAGTTTATTGATTCATCATTTCGTCTCACATTTTAAATCTTCTATCTGGAGTCACTTTCCTTTTGCCTAAACAGTGTACTATTGGTGACAATGGCCTATTAATGACAAATTCTCACAAGTTTCTATTTGTCTGAAAACACTTCTATTTTTCCCTCATCTTAGAAAGATATTTTTACTGGACATACAATTTTAAGTTAACAGTTATTTACTCTAGAACACTGAAGATAGTAGTCCACGGTTTTCTGGCTCATATTGTTAAAGTTGGGAAGTGAGCTATCAGTTTAATTTATTTCTTCAAGAGTAATACAGAGGGTGCAAAAAAAAGTATACACGGTTTAAGAAAGGAAAAAAACTGTACTAAAATTGTACTACTCAATATATACTGATAACGAAAGATGAATACAAGTCATTTGTATACATTTTTTTGACACCCCGGTATATGTTATCTCTCTGACTTAAGATTTTCTCTTTGCTTTTGGTATCATTATGGTGTGCATCAGGGGAATTTCTTTTCATTTATTTTAAATGGAATTTTTTTGAACTTTCCAAATATGTGGTTTAGTATCATTTCACAAGTTCTGAAATTTGGTAGTAATTATTTCTTTAAACATTATGTCTGACCTCATCCTCTTTTTTTTTCTCTGTTAGGGATTATCATTAGATTAAAATTATTTTAATTAAAATCTATTGTTTTAAGTGCTCCATCTCTGGGTCCTACCTTGCATTTTGGATAATTTCTTCACATCTATCTTCTAGCTCATCAGTTCCCTCCTCAGTTATGTCAAATCTGAGTCAAAATTAATTTCTTTTGGCATCCTTAGTAGGTTTGATTCTGCTATTCTGTTGTTTTACCTAGCTCCTTCTTTTTTGTTTCATCATGAGATTTGTATTTTTTTACTGTGAGCCAATATTTCTTGTAACTTTTATCATGGGATTCTATTGAGGCCTGGATTGAAGGTAGATCCTCCAAAGTAAAATTGCAATTGCTTCTGTCAGGCATCTAGGGCCCTACAGATCCAGGACCAATTTAAGCTAAGTTTTCTGTATATAGCTTTCTGGGACTACCCAGGAAGTCTGAAATCAAGCTGGAAGCATGTGTGAGGCTCAGTTCACTATTATAAATTTTTAGGTAACTGTTTTTTCCTCCTCTACTTAGCACCAAGGCTTTAGCTGAATTAACTTTTCCTAGTACTCTTGGAATGGATGGTGAGAAAATTTATTATTAGTTCCTCATTTAGGTTTCAGCTTTAGGCAGGGGTTCCCCTATTTGTTACCCGTTTATGTAAGTCCTTAGGCTTTGTCTTTTGCCTTTTGCACCCCACTTAGCTATGAAAACCAAAGCTCAAGGTCACTGGGTTCAGTAAATGCCCTCAAAGTGAGTCCTAGTTTCAGGGTTCTGCTTCACTCTCTGGGTTCCTATTTTCACCTAGTTTTTGGCCTCTGAATAGTTCTTTGTGTATTTATTTAAAAAGTATTTTTAAGTATAATTTATCAGCAAGAAGGTCAATCAGGACACCGAGTCCAAAACTCTGAAGGTCAATTGGAGTACCAAGACACTTTCATTTTACTGATGAGGAAACTAAGGTTCAGGGAAGCTAAGCAACTCACCCAGAAACAGAGTGAGTGAATGACAGAGTTGGGATTGAACCCAGATAGAAATACTGAAACATGTACTTCAAAACGAAAGTCAAATTTATCCAAATTTAGTTAACACGAGTTAATTTACATGCAGATTGGCTAATATCAACTCGGGTGTCTGAAGAGGAAAACATAAATCTCAAGACTGTCTTCTATTACAATCTTTGAGGAAACAGAATAGAAAAAGAATTAATTACATTAAAACTCCCTCCATTTTAATAAAGTTAAGAGATACCTAATAAAGGTATGTATGTATGTGTGTGTTTGTGATCTTTGATGGAGTAATCAGCAAACATTGCAAATCACAAATGCCCAATGAGGACAGTTCGGACTGTCAGGTTTGTTACAGTTTAAACAAATGTTTCCACATATGGAATTGGGTTTTAATTCTCAGTATGTAATTATCACTAGGTGTCAATTAAAGTGAAGACACCCCATCCCACAGTCCTCTAGTCCCTCTTCCCAGGAGTAACCACTGCTAACAGTTTCTTCAATAGCTTTTAAACCATATTACATTTCCACAGCTGGAGACACAAATAAAGTTATCAGTTCTTGGTACTTGTGCCAAATGAACCCTTCTCTCCAGACTCACCAATTCAATTTTCACATCTAATATTCCCTACCTCTGTTTATATAGATCAGATATGTATCCAAGTTCAAGCCTCCTCCCTGCCACCCCCCGGTAATACACACACACACACACACACACACAATCACTGTGCACCAGGGATTAGAATCCATATTTCTTTATTTTCAGTTCAAGAATTTACTTTGGATAATATATCTCTCTGATAATGGTAATAGAGACACTTCAAATATATTTCTTCCATGAAGAAATCAACAAAACTATAACACAAATCAACTGCCATCACGCTAAGCTTGTTCTGAACTTACAGGTATCGTGCAGCTGTCTGAATCTCGAGACGTAAATCCAACGTTGCCTAAGTGAAGGATGCCAGCAAGTATTCGGAAAATTCCCATCTGATAGGATTCACTAATTCCTGAAACAACAGAGTAAATGAACAAGTGATTAATTTTGAAACAGGAACTAAACAATTATAGCAGGCAATTTTAAGCCTATTTTTAACTGTTGAATATTGCCAGATGTTGTACACATTATAATGTGTGATAGTTAACAACACTTAATAGGGCTAAGGGCATGGGCTATGGAGTGAGACAGACTCGGGCTCAAGGCCTGGCTCTGCCCCCGATCTGCCATCTCTCGTGGTCAGGTAACTTCCCGCTCCTGTGCTTCTTCCGCTTTCTCATTTGAGACAGGCAATCACTGTGACTACCTCAAAGGGTGCTTGTGAACATTAAATGAGAAAGTGCACGGAGTATACTTAACATGCTACATGATACATGGGAAGTGCTAAACAAATCATCATCATTGTCACATGCCAGATTTAACTATTTTGTTAATACGACTAGCTTTTCTGTTTATCTCCACTCCAAATGCAAGTGGCAGCCCAATAAGGCTGTTTTAAGTCAGATTACTTAATTACTTTTTTTAACTACAGACCAAGTATAAGTCAAAGAGCCCCTAAGATTGGAAGAGTTCCGCTGTTGTTGTAACCCACGCTGATGAGTGAGTCCAAACGCAGCATTGAGCAGGGCCTGAAGGCTGAGGCAGGATAAGGAGGCTGGACTGCTCCTGGCTTTTTATCAGATCTGGCTTCATTTTTAAATAAGGTAGGAATTTCCAGAATATTAGATCCACGTATATGCAAGTAAAAATTGTAAAGTTATTTCCAAATATGTAATCATATACAGCGTAATTGAGCACTCATCTTTTTTCTTTTATTTTTTTATATTAGTTTCAGGTGTACAAAGCAACATGATTAGACATTTACACCCCTCACAAAGTGATAACGCCCCTGTCTACTACCCCTGACATCGTATATAGCTGTTACTATACCACTGACTATATTCCCTACGAATACTAATCTTATAGTGAATGTTTCTGCCATCTCCTGCATTATGGCTTTTTCAAATTTCTAATTTTCTGTTTACAAACAGATTTAGGCCTAGAAGTAAAACAGTGTTTTTCAAAACTTAATACGCAAATGAATCACTAATGGCTCTTGTTCAAATGTAGACTTGGATTCAGTAGATCTGAGGTAGGGTCTGAGATTATGAATTTTTGCAAGCTATACAGTGGTCCTGGACCACATTCTGATTAGCAATGCTTTTACATTAAACTAACTCACTTTGGGGTGATCCTGAAAATATGATTTTAGATGTATTCATATTCTGAGGTTTTAAAATAAATAACTCACTAGTAAAAATGTACACTGCAGTTCTAAAGATTAATTTATTTATATGTAGACCCAATATTTTTAAATTCCAGAAACACAGTGACATCTGAGCCATTTCAGAAACAGAATAAACTACATTAATTCCTTGTTTTGTCACCCAGCCTGCTCAGCCATATAAAAACACCCAAAACAAACAAACAAAACCCTCTACAAAATGTAACTTTGCTCAGGAACCCACTTCATTTAATGTAAGTTTCAGATTTTGAAAAAGCTTAGAGTTAATTAGTCCTACCTCTGCTAATGTCCTGAATGTGTGTTTTAAATAATTTTATTGAGGGACAATTTGCATACCTTAAAATTCACCTATTTTCAGTACGCAATTCAATGATTTTTAGTAAATTTACAAAGTTGTGCAACCATCACCACAATCTAATTTTAGAATAGCTCCCATCACCCCAAAAAGGAACCTCATGCCCATTTGCTGTCCAAATGCATTTTATGAGGAATGTGAAATCTCTCAACAATACTCACCACTTAATACCAAGTTAAGCAAATATTCCAAACAAAGATTGCTGGAGTCAAAAAGCTATTGCTCATAAGAGTTCAAGAGTAAAATTACATTACCTAGCAGAGTGCAGGCCTGCCTGGTATTTACCATCTCCTTCGCATCGTCAACTCCTTCAATCACAGGGCTGCCACCTTGCTTTGTATAATGAAAGCTATTTGCATTTCCTGAAATAAGAAAAATAAAAAATTTGTAATCTGTGAAAAAGACTTGATTTCTACCTTTATGTCTACTCTCAATTAGGGGCAGTGATAGGACAGTTTAGTGTATAGGGTCTGGAATTCCACTGCCTGTGTTTTCAGTTATATTTTAACACAAAACTCAAAATTAAATAATGAAGTGAAATGTTTGAAGTTTATTTATCTTAATTGATGAGATGACTAGTCCTTTCCTAAATAGGTTTTATTCCAATCTACATGTTTCAAACACTTTACTACCCTCATTAGAAACCTCACAGGCCTCTATCACATAAACACCTTTAATTTTTTTTCTTTTAATCAAGGCAAATTTCAAACATACACAAAGGTAGAGACACTAGTATAATGATCCCCTATGTACTCATCATTCATTGTAAACAAGTATCAACTCAAGACCAATCCTGTTCCATTTAAACAGCCATTAACTCCTTCCCCAACCCATGGGTTTATCTTGAAACCATTTGCAGACCTCTTAAGTCATCCATTAATATTTCAGTATGAGATAATCTCCTTTTCAACAAACTTATGAACTCAGAAATTAACAGAAAACAATACCAGTGCAATAAATCTAATGCCATATTCATACCTAATCGCAGCATTTTAAATTCAGGTAACTTTGCTGAGGCACAAAGCTGATAGAAGATATGATAGTTTCTCTCTTCTTCTGCCTTTGAAATAAGAAGAGTTTTCAATTACAGCATTTTCTTCTAAAATTCAGAATATTCAATCAAAAATAAAATTTTAATATTTAATTATCTTAGTGCAATAAATTGTCCTTTCCCAAATTCCCTAATACATATTTATAATTACTCAACCTTACAATTGATTAGCCATGTACATACGTGTGAGTGTGTATCTGTTGGTCACATTCAACATAAAATATCTGATAGCAATCCTTTATGAAATAGTGAACAGCTTGGTATAGGGCAGGGGTCGGCTCGCGAGCCACATGTGGCTCTTTGGGTATGTACATGTGGCTCTGAAGTAAATTGAAAATGAAAATAAAACTATCATAGTTTCATTTATAAAATTTTTAAAAGAATATTATTCACATAATGGTGATTTCATTTGTTTTATAGGTCTCGCAAAACTTTGAGGGACAGGATTAGCTCTTCCATCTCAAAAGTTTGCCGACCCCTGGTATAGGGCATTGTCATAAGAGATCATTGCCTTTGGGGGAAGCTAAAACCATTTTTTTGATACTCAATACTTTCTCACAGTACCTCTTAGATTCACAGTCTTTTAAACACTCTGAATAAAAAAGAATATCCTGTTTTTGCTGTATTTTAGACTGGACCATCTACTACAGTTTTAAGAAACCCACAAATGCATTATGTCTTCTATATCAATAAAAATATCTTATAAAATAAAAAATAAAGTATGTACAATTCTAAGATCATTTACTATTTCCTGACAGTCTTTTTCTACATATATACTTTAAAAAGACAGTTGTAATAATATTCACACAAAACTGAATTGTTATACTCTATTATCATATCCTTGAATTCTGCCATGTATTCAGTTGACTAATCAATACTGCAAGTAAGCCCAAGGTCAGGTTTGATGCTCAAAGGGGGCTGATGTCAGGTAAAGAAAACCTATTACAGGAACAAAAGATACTGAACAAATTAACAATGTACCAATGATTATAAGCATGATTAGGCAAGAGATCAGGTAGTTCGGTTCACAGCCAACTAGAAAACCAGGTGGATCTACAGAAATGCTTTGGTCATCTTTGTACATGGACAATATCAATAATGTTCTGTCTGACTCATTTTGACATACCAAACTCCTCAATAACAGCCCTGGGGATTGGGGAATAGCTGGAATTGCTTCAATATCTCTAGATAAGCCAGCATTAGGCCTTAATGTTTTTTCTTAAGCACTACTAACCTCTAGTCACCATACCCACTGAACCTTTAATTGTTTACCTATCAATCAAATCTGTACCATTTAAACTCAGTCTTCTCTTAGATCTACATATTTCCTCCATTCTTTCTTTTGGCTACTAAACATTTTTTTTAAACCTATAAAGTATATATATGTGTACATATTAACATTGTTCTATGTGTACCTACATATTACTTTTTAAAATTTTTTTATTTTTCAATTACAGTTGACTTACAATATTATGTTATCTTCAGGTGTACAATATAGTGATTAGACACTTACATAAGTTACGAACTGATCACCCTGATAAATCTAGTACCCCTCTGACACTATAATTATTATAATATCATTGACTATATTCCCTATACTATACTTAACGTTCTCATGACTATTTTGTAACCACCAACTTGTACTTCTTAATCCCTTCACCTTTTTCACCTATATTAGAACAATGGAGGAGGGTGACTATTGCTTTACTATACAAATCAAGTATTATACTTTAGGGGGCCACAAATCAGGCACATCTCCAAAGCCAAAGCCACGGCAGTTGCAGGCTGCTGAAATTCATGGCTCTCAGTCTGTCCCAGACACTTTCAAAGCCCTAACAGACTCGTGCAATGGAAATTATAGACTCTGCCACATGGCAGAGCCAGGGGAATATGAACTGCAGTGCAGGGGGCATCCAGTAAGGGGGCTACAGAAACCCTGATCTCACCGCATGCAGTGGCTCACCAGGATCCTTATCCTCGGAGTTTTCCAGTGATAAGAATACATTTCCTCGAGCATACCTGTAAATATGTAACTCTATAGTATTTCCCACTTACAGATCGTTGAAAGACCAAGAGCAGATGTGTGACTGAAATCCTGCACATAGATTTGAGTGGGTTCTTTGACAGTAGTTCACAACTGGGTTGTGAAGATTTTTTTAACCCTAGTTATTCTATTTAAACAATATAATAATGTCACATTCTAAGAGAGGAAAGAAGGAAGGAAAGAGAATGGGATAATTTCATTTTTCTTTAACTAAGTTCAAATTGTAACTCATTGAAGGCATGAACCAATGTCATTCCTACCAATTGGGAAATATGAAACACAAGACTAAACTAATAGCACCTCTTCTTACCTAAGCTTTTCTTACAAGTATCTGTAGGGAAAGGTCAAAACCATAAAAACGAAATCAGGGCTCAGCTCCAAAGACTATTAGTTTAATAGGTATTCCCCTGTCTCTAACAGGCACCATTTTATGTGTTTCTGTCCAAATGTGTTTTGTAGCAATATTGTCATAATATGCTCAAGAGTATCCGGAAATAAAATACATACCAGCAAGCATGAGTTCTGGAATTGCATGGCACTCTAACACATGTATATATGTGTACATGCCCAGCTTACCTGGAACACCACTCGGGATTTCTCTAAAAGGTAAGTTCTCATATTGGCACCAATGATTCGATATCTCTTATCAAAGCCAATCTCGATATACTTCCCAAAACGGCTACTATTATCATTCCTGGTTGTCTTAGCATTTCCAATTGACTAAGAAGCAAAGGAAGAAAATAAGATTTTAGAAGTGCAATTCATGACATATGACCTACAGAGTTGGTGGTTCATGGAGAGAAAGGATGGTATAGAACACAACCCTTTAAAGTGGATTCTTTTAAGAACAGTACCAATGTTGCCCCTGCAGACACAAGTGTATGTTTTGCTCACTGCACAACCATGCAAATATATACCAATAGTTCATATCCGCCTTATTATTCTCACACAACTTAGTTTTATAACTAGTAAACCTGAACCAGGGGCTGGGAGGTTTCATACACCATCTGGGGTATTTGAGCACACTCATTCATGCCAGCAAAGAAAGAGAATGGATGGCCCTGGGAGCTGCCAAGGCACAAGCCCTCTTAGTGAAACATCAGGGTTTTGATTTCTTAAAAAACTTAGCCTGTTTTATGTAAATAAGCTGGTTAAGACACATTAATATTCTCCTCAAAATGTTGCTTGGTGTTCAAGATCTCTTTAGCCAGAAGTTTCTATCATCTTATCCTGTGACAATAAAGGTCCAGTTGGACTGCTGATTTGTGAAGCATTAGCAATTATCCACCCAATTCAAAGTCATTTTCCGAAACCAGAGACAATTAATTTGGCTTTGGATTTTGATAGCTGTATCTAACTTGTAAAACATCTGTTACAGAATGCAGGGAATGTAACTCAGCTAAATGTTTTATATAATCTTAAAATGGCATATGTACTGCTTTCTGATTTAAATAACATGCTTCTATACATTTTTCTTTCATGGCAAAGTAAAAAACATGGTGTAGTTAGAAAAGCAAGTGTTCACATAATGCATATATTAAATGTTTAATACGATAACTTCATAAGATTAATATCTTTCACGTATATCTGGTAGTGCAAAGCCTGTGACTACCAGAATTAGTATATTGAAATTACAGCAGAGAGAAAGATGTAAAAATGTTCTGGAGTGTTACAAGAGCCATACAATATAAGTGATAAAAAGAGGAACATAGGCACAAAAGTCAACAAGTTAGGTTCTCTGATCCATAAAATAAAATTTATTTTCACTCTCTGAAATCCTATTTTTGTTTTGGCAATGAGAACACTGCTATGTTTCAGATTAACATTTTAAATGGAAAGACTGACTGAAAGCTATCTTCCCAGCAAAATAACAGTATGATTTAATGTGGCCTAAGGTAATTTAACAATACAGATATTTACTCAGATATTCCCCTTCCTGATATTACACAAAGCACAACAAACAGTCTTGACATATTCCCATTGTTTTTATTTTGTTTAGAAAGGAAATTAATGATAAATATAGAATTTTCTTTCAACACAATATATTCTGTCAAAGAGCAGATGGAGGGCTACACGCAGTAGCACCGGAGGCAGCAGTAATAGTTACTGAGCGCTTACCAGCCACTGTTCTAAGCACTTTCAGCAACTAAGCAAGTTGGGCGGAAGGGTGAGCACAGCTTCTCCTCCTCCCTGACTCTTATCCCACCTTCCATATGTCATCTCTTCCCCATCTACTCAGAGTGGGAGTCAGAGTAGCCAACCTGCCAAAGCAATACTACACTCTGTGAGAAGAGGCAGTGAGTGGGCAAGGGTTGAAACAGACGCCGTTGTCTTTGAGTAAAAGGTATTTAAACATAGAGCAAAGAATGGTGGAAGAAGCAAGTGAAACAGAAATCCGAAGGGTATCAGACCAGGCCCTATTACCAACTTGCCATCATCTAATCCTTTGAGGAGCTTTAGTGTCCCCAAGTGTAAACTGACTAGGACAAATGAGCTCTAGGGTCCTTTTCAAAAATAAAATGATAGGATTCTAAGCCTTGAACCTGATATTGAAAGAAGGTTCTATATATAAACAGTTATATAAACAGTACCTTTTGTCATTCCCCCTGATTTCTTCATCTGCCTTATAAGTACTGTATTTGCAAGTGTCCCTTAATGCTATTTTCACTTGAATCAGCAAGAAATTGTTAAAGGAAAGAAGTTTTGTGGCCTTAATTTTACTATTGATTTCAGTGAAATGTTGAGTTATTCTTCTTTACTAAATGGAGATGAAAATCTTCAACTACGGTTACTGAAGATGAAAATGAATGATTGAGACCCAGTATGCCCCAAGAATCCTTCCTGTCCCCATCTTAGGGTAAAAATTTCCAGGCGAAAAGGGAGAAAAAGAAAACAAGGTAAAAAAGAGCAAAAAGAATCACTTCTCTGTACATCATTTGTATTTTGCAAAAGCAGCCCATGCCAAGGCTGAGGAATTTGCTTTTTAAAGGATAATGTGCAAATCCCAGTAGGCACGGGGCAGTGATGCTAACTGGGCATAATGGTCCAATGAGGGGTGATCCTTGAGGAGTTTCAGCAGATCACTGGACACCCAGACTTGCCTTTCTTGACATCGCAGTAAAGGGCTTTGATACAGAGGCATAGTCTTGAGGCAGGTTTAACGCTAAAAATTTTCTAGGCCACATATTCAGTACATAGCTACGTTTTTTCCTATAATTGTAAACCCTGTTACCATTCTTTAGCCCCATATTCCATTTTAATCTTTCAAATTGGGATTCATTTGTAGTTGTTGAAAATTAGCTCTCTCTTTACCAAATTTTCTTACTCCAAATTCTTATAAAAAAACTAACAATAACATAGAAGGAAATAGCTAGGCATAACTGATGACTTTATCTTTTTTTGTTCATCCTAGCAAAAGGTAAATTCCCTACAACTATATATTGAAAAGTAGTATCTGTGACCATTCCATATGTTTAATATCATTCTTCACTAACACAACTCAAATCTGTGTTGTAGAAAAACCAATTAACCAATTTTTTGAAAGAGAATATGCAAGGTCATAAAATAGTTGATTCAACTTGACATATTCTTGGGTTGTTGGGAAAGTCATGAGGCATTTTTGCAATGAGAAACATAGAAAAAATATGTCATGACTTTTCCAACAACTGTAGAAGGTTCATGCCAGACTTGTGTAATTATATGATCCAGGCCTAGAAAAGATGGGGTTCCCTGATATCATCACAATCAAGACTTTGGGATATTCTAACATGAGGGGCTATGAATGACCTAAACTGTTGCCAAAATTTCAAGAATTCATTGTCATGATCAAAATAATGGTAGGAAGCAAATCCCTGTTGTTTTCTAATCCAAAACCTAAACCGGCTCTACAGACTATATCTCCTCAATATTAACACCAGTGGCATCCACTACTGTATCTGTAGCTTTAATTCTTCAAAATCTTAATAGTTGCTTAAAATCTTTACTACTTTCTTTTGGCACAGATATCTGTTTCCTCCTGTCCGTGCTATTTCAGTAAACTTTTTCAGTTCTCTTTCCATAATGCACTCCACCCAGGAGGTCTCTTAACTTCCCCAGTATATCTTGTCCTCTCAACCCCAAGAACAGCAGTCCTGATGTTCTGCAGGCAAGGGGTCATAGCATTCTGTTCTGAAGTATCACACACAGCACTGCAAACCAGGCACAATTACCTCTGGACTGATTATTGCAAAAACCACTCGTACCACAGGTGCATCAGGCCAGTTTTAAACGCCATCTGTGTTTGGGTGACAAATAAGGCTTGACAAAGGAAAAAAACAGGAATAAAAAAATGCTGATTTGAATTTTTAATAAGAAAGGTTTGTTTCTGCATGTCCAAACTAATTTCTCTCCACTTAATGAGACTTACTTTTCCCATTTAATGGGACTACTTACAAAAATGTAAGTCTCCTAAAATCATATTAGACAAATAATTCTCTAGTTACGAATCCTAAAATACTCAAATTCTCCATACTCAAATAGGTCCATTTTCTTTGGCATAAGCGTTTCTACTCTGTATACATGTTCCGCCTTTTGAAACAGACTTCCACAGTTCTTCCTTTCTCAAGAATTTATAGTTATTGAATTTCTTTTTCTAACCTGAAACTGTGTGATATGCTTGACAGAAACACGAAGAAAATGTTTACAAGATCATAATTTAAGTTTATAGTTCAAATCTGGGGGGGGGGAAAAGAAAACTTTATAGCTAAACAAGTTGGACTAAGTATAGAAAATGAAATGTGGGTAAAGGAATAATGAGCCTCATTCACGTTTAACGTAGTGAATCCTGTGATGTGGAAAGAGCTTGAATAAGAACTCAGTGTAAGAGTAACTTACACTTCTAGTACAAGGAGCAATAGATATGAGTCAATTAACTAGAAGAAAGAAACTTCAGAAAATGAAGTACCACTACCAGCTACTTAGAGGCAAAAATTCAATGGTAGGTTAAAAAAGCACGATTATGAAATGAAGTAGATTGTTTTATAGCTGAGCTTTACTCAAAATGTCTACCTTGGTGAATTTTCACTTTTCCTAGGTCTCTTACTAGCACGTGGAAAATTATTTTCCTACTTTCAGTGCATGGGGGATCCCAGACATCCTGACATGTGCTGCATCAAACAATTTTTTTACATGTTTCTTAACCAGAGAATATATAGGAGGAAGGCCAAGGCTGCTGCTGTCTTACCTCCATGATGGGGTTGGAGGCCAAGACCTTTTCCTCAACATTGGCTTCACTGGCAGAACCACTCACAGTTGCAAAGTATCGCATGGCATACTTAGCTGAGACTGTTTTTCCTGCCCCAGACTCTCCACTTACAATGATGGACTGATTTCGTTCATCTCTGTAAAACAAAGAAGAGTCACTGACAGTACTGCCCACTTCTCAATGTGATTAGTATGATTTCTGCTGTGTTCTCATCAATGAGCCATGGTGAAGTTCTGCTGGTTCACACAGGCAACAATGTGGGAGGGAACTTAAGAATGATATTTCCTAATAAAAATAACTACTTATAAACTAACAATGAACAGAGAGGGAGAAAAAGATATCAACCATTAAATTAGAAAGCATTACATCTACGGGTAAATCTACAATAGAAGGTTTCTGAATGTTTTGTGTATTCAATCTCAAACATATTATTTGATTCCTAGAGAATTACTTTGGTATATTACAGTACTGTTGTTAATCACCTCAGAAAAGAAAGGAGCCACAGCAAAGGAATTTGGAAGAAAATTATATTTAATGAAAATTACAAATTGTCTACTAGCTCACAGTCCATAAAATAGTGTTTCCCACAAGCTCTGTCTTCTACTAAAATATCCTCACTGCCAGAGAAGAAATGGTTCATTTGTGGGCTGATTTGTTCAAATATGTCAGAACTCAAAGACTATCACTATTATACCTTTAGTTCATTCTCACAATGACTCAAAACTCTAAGTGATGAACTTGCTCATAAGACTGTCATTTCTTTGAGGATAAGGACCTATGTCATCTTTATCTTTAATATCCAGCACCTAGTTGAGAGCCTGATACATCACAAATGCTCAATAAGGAAATAGAACTTCAATGAGCAATGTAGCCTAGGAATCAATCTCTCTGCTTTGGCTATGATTTCTACTAGGACATTAGCAGGAAATGTTCGCTTCCTGAGATGAAACCAGCAGTTAGCTCTAATTCATCAAAATAACTGAACAAGTACATAATGGAGGTATCATTTGTGCCCTTCATTTACAAAGAGACAAGATAACTTCAAAGGTTTTTAGTGGAATTATCCTATAAGGCCACAAGATTGGGAGGTTATTCCATTACAGAAGATGATCTTTTAAACTTTTAAAAGAGATTTATTTATCCAACAAATACACATGACAAATATTGTGTTAAATATCAGAGATACAAGTTACATAAACCATGATTTTCATCCTCAAGTAGCTGAAGATCTAATAGGAAAGATAGACTAGTATTTTAAGGTTATAATACATATGATGGGGCAATGAGTGGAGAAAGAAGTAATCAGGGAAGACGCCCTGGGGATGAGCACCATCTAGAAAGAGGAGTAAGAAACAGCAAGAGATAGATGAGAAAGTTAGGAGGGAACATTCCAGGATACAGAGATAACATAAATGAAGACTCAGACACATGAGAAGTTAGGAAAATGCACATAATTTGGTTTGGCTGAAACATGGAGTAATTACAGATAAGGTTGTAGAAGTTAGGAAGAACTGAATCATAAAGTCTTAACGTGAGATGTTAAGGAATTTGAAGTTTATCTAAGAGTTACTGAGTACCACAGTAGGGTTTTAAACAGAAAATAGCACAACCCAATTAGTAAATCACTCTGGCAGCAATATGGAATACGGGTGTCAGGGGGTCCAAAGAAAAATGATGACAGTTTGAACAGAAGTTGTGGTGGTCAGATGGGTTTAAGAGGTACAAAAGTGGTAGGAATCAACAGTACTTGGTAATACATTTCCAAAGTAGAAACTTAGGACTTTTCTAAGGAAAAGGCCCTGTTTTCTTTGAGAAAATTAGGCTCACTGCCTTATTTTCCAGATTTTGAAAAATATAGTGGGGAGTACCCAGTGCAGGCCTGATAAGTACATTCACATCCCTCTGACAGGGCCATGTGACAGGACCTTGATGACACACTAAGGAATGTCTAATTCTTATAGTACAAGCTTGCACATCATCCCATTTTCATGAAATTTCCTTGAACCTCATACTCACCATCTCATTTCCTTTTTATTTAAATTTCTAAACTATACTAGATACTCCCATTGCTTCTTTCATTCATGGATGATTTCAAGATAAATTACTGTAGTAAAACAGTTCTCATTGTGGTACCAATGTCCTTTTTTTCAGTCATTTAAAATGTCCTAAGAATTTATCTTTTTCGACACATTAATCAAGGGACAGAATCAGCAGTCTTTAGATTACCTTCTAAAATATGATGAGAAAATGATCTCTTCCTAAATCCTACATGATGGGTTCTGTCACTACATCCTGTGTGACAGCTAACTTGACAAAAGTCTCCCAGCACTTCTGATGGCAAACTAGGTGAGAAGGCTGCCACTAATCTGATGAAAAGGAAATATTAATAGGAACTGCTATCCTAAACTGTACTGCCTTTGAAAATCTATTTCAAGTCTTCATGACAAAATATTGTATCAAAAAAATCTAGAAATTCCTATGTAAAAGCCCTTTCCTATAATATCGAGATGAAGAAAAATGTTAAAGGCAATAAGATTGAGATTGTTCAAATGAATAACAAAGATTTGTACAAATACCTACATATACACACTGATGTCAAGCACATGCGAGATACATTTTCTTTTCCACAATTTAGGATCCTGTATCCATATAACCAAAAGTTTTAAAATGTTTTTAAGGGACTTGATTGTTTCTTATATTTTCCTGACTTTTGGCAGAGAGAATTCCCTTTTTTCCCAAGCCTAGTAGAGCATTCCAATATATAAATAAGTACCACTCTTCCATTATATAAACTCTGAATCCAGGTGCCAGTCCTAGCTCTGTCATTTACCAGCTTCATGGATTTAAGTAATTGCATGGTCTGTTTGGGTCACAATTTTCTCATCTTTAAGATTAAATGGCATCTAAAGTCCTCCTCAAAAGCTAAAGTACTATGATCTAAAAGTCAAAATACATTTACAGTTGATTTTCCAGATGTTGGATTGGCCATAGCCCACATTCTAAGGGTAAACTCTTGGGATAACTAGAAAAGGCCAGGCCTACAGACACTTAGGTGGTCTCGAATGACTGTATGTGAGATGGAGGATTTCTTCTCTAGAGAATCCCTGAACCAGAGATGGCCAAAACCAAAACAGGGCTACAAAGAGAAAAATGGAAAATAATTCACTAACCTGCTTTTAAATTAAGAATAGGAGTCAGAAATCTTTATAATAAGTGCAATAAAGTCTTTAAAATGCCTTCAGTTCTATGTGGCCATAGGAAGAAATGCCAGAAAGACAGGACAAAAGCAGAGATAGACAAAGTAAGGAGCCAAGTAGAGACACAGAAGGGAGAAAGGTAATATATAATGAAGACATACAAAGGTAAAAACAAGAAGAGTATGATAGGGATGAGGAGAAAACAGACAAACACATCAGGGATAAAAATTTTACGGTTTCAAGGTGAATATCAGAGTTCACCCTCTTCTATTGCTGTGGCTTTTAGAGTGTTGTATACATGTAAATAATAATTTATTATTTGAAATTTTGATTGGCTGATCAGCCACTGTTCATAATATTTTGGGTGTTCTTGTCCTCCTCGCATCACAAGAACCTTCTTTGTACTTTTGGAATATAGATATCACTTCAAGGGCCTGATAAAACCAAGTTAAAGAACAGAGATTCTCCACTCCTCTTCAAGGGCAGATCAATCTGGAACATCTTAGTGATGCATAAACCAAAGATTTATGATTTCTGGCCGGCCAGTCCTCAAGGGCCTCTACAATGATCCTAAGCAGCCTGGGTACTGGATGTCCTGGAGTAGAGATGAGCTCTTCTGACCTGTCTCAATCAATGGTGGCCTCATAGACTCCTATGTAAGCTAAAAACCCCAACTAAAAATACTGCTTCCTTCATTCCTTCATTCAACAATCGTAATGAGTAGCCACAATGTGCCAAGCACTTTATGAAGATAAAGACTTTAGGGTCATAGCCTATTGAGAGAAAGTGAAAAGTACACAGTTAAAATACAGTGGAGTAATTGCTAGAAAAGCGGGCTATCCAGGACACTATGAAAGCATTGAGGAGATGTGAGGAGGGGATGTCAGGAAATGCTTTCTAAGAGATGATGCCTGAACTGACTCTTATGTGGTGATTAGGAGAAACCAGATTGTGTGGAAAAACGGAAATGAGAAGTAAATATGTAGAAGCACTGGAAACCCCAGGAAAAAATTATCTAAGGGTAGGCTATCCACTCTGGGATGATGAAAGAGATTTTACACTTTATTTTATTTTCCTTCTATAGTCCTCAGTATCTATATATATTTAGTATAAAAATCTGAAAACATTTATCCGTAAAGATAGATGTGCTCTGATTTTCATTGCAGCTTTATTTATGATGGCCAAGACATGGAAACAACCAAAGTGTCCTTTGACAGATGATTGGATAAAGAAGATATGGTATATATACACAATGGAATACTACTCTGCCATAAGAAAAGATGAAATAGTGCTATTTGCGACAACATGGATGGATCTTGAGGTTATTATGCTAAGTGAAATAAGTCAGACAAAAAAAGTTGAGAACCATATGATTTCACTGATATGTGGTCTATAAAACTGAAAACAACAAAAGAACATGACAAACAAATGAAGAAACAAAAACTCATAGACACAGACAATAGTTTAGTGGTTACCAGAGGGTAAGGGGGGAGGGGTTGTGGTAGATGAAGGTAAAAGGGATCAAATATATGGTGATGGAAGAACTGACTCTATGTGGTGAACACACAGTGTGATATATATTAATAGGCGATGCATTACAGAATTGTACACCTGAAATGTATGTAACTTTACTAACAATTGTCACTCCAATAAACTTGAATTTAAAAAAAAAATTTTCTATCTATTTGGTCTGTCTAGCCTTTCCTTATATTATGTCAATTAAGTTTTCATTTTGTATCAGGTATATTATTTTATAGATTTTCCTTCTAAACTTTACCCTTTAAAACATGTAATCTCTCTAGTTTATTATTGTCACATTGAATGCTATTCATAGCTTCCAATACCATCACCTTGTCCTCTGCAAATTTAATGATCATACTTTCAATTCACATCCAGGTCATTAATGAGGAAACTAAGAAATGCTGGCCTCAGGGCTGACTCATGAGGAACACAATGGAATATGCCCACCCATGTTGATGCTGGCTCTCTGATAACCACCCATTGGTGCTGCCATGCACCCTGGTAAAGTGTAAAGCACCTAGGTCTAACTTTTAGCTTATACGTGATCATGTTCACGTGAAACAAAACCTAGAGTTTTGCTTTTTTGCAGGCAATCAATCTAATTATTTCTCCCTTTATTTGGTCCCTTGTTTAAAAAAGAGAACATTAAGTTAGTGTAATATAATGCTTTCTTCCAAAATTGTGTTTTTACTGTGGTGACTTAAAGATATGCCTTCATTTGAGACGCTCATCCCTATTTCTGTTAAGTTTTTCTACATTCTTATCACTTGTCAAAATCAAGCTACTCTGCTCTGTCTCTGACTACTGCTTTTGATCAATCCCAAAAAGAAGATTTAAACTTTAAAAGATTTACACTATGCAATGGGTTCACAAGGACAATATTATTTTTGAAGTGTAAATATTTATTATAAGAGTGTGCTGGCATTGGTGAAAGCTGTGCTTTAGAGAGGCAGAGAGGCTACTCAGGAAATGAAAATAAGCGTTCCCTGGAGATACATGCTGAGGTTATTCAATTCCTGATGAGAAGCCTGTCACATGGTTATCGGGTCCTCTCATGTCAATCTGACTTTTCTGTTCCATCAGTACAGAGTCTCTGAGATTCACATGAAGATGCCATAAAGAAATAGCTAAATTATATTTGTTTATAACTTTTATAGACTCTTACAGTTATTGTGTTTTATTCCTACTGCAACCTTATGGGTTAGATAGTACTCAGCAAGTCCCAAATTCACAGAATAAAGAACTCCAAAGAGGAGTTGTTTACTGGGAGCTGAGATGGTCTAAAAGTAAAATTTGAATGAGATCATGAAGAATAAATAGAGGAAATATTTACAACATTATTGATTATATTCCTCGGACTCTTTTTCTATCCCTGAGGCCATATTGCAATTACCAATTTGTACTGTCTCATCCCTTCCCCTCTCCTTCATCCCCACCCCCTCCAAACTAACAACCCTCAGTTCTTCCTCTGTGTCTCTGAGACTATCTCCATCCACTT